GTGAATGTTTCATTTCCTTCGCTGATATATATTTTCACAATATGAAATCATTTAACACGTCAAATGATATAACCCTTCACCAAAACCAATTATTCTATTTACAATATTATTATCAATTATCCCCAAATGTTTTTTTTTTTTCGTTTTTTTTTTTTTTTTGAGCCAAGTATTGGGTGAGATATTAAATTTGTAGGGCTGAAATGGTATTTGTGGGGCAGTCAGCTGAGCTGTATGAAACATAATTTCAACTTAATTTCCATGTCCATTTTCCGGTGGAAAAAAAAAAGAAACCAAATTTCATCTTTGTCGCATAAAATCCGAAACTTTTATTATTGTTATTACTGGCTAGCATGATTTACAAAAAGAAAAAGTTGAAACCTATGGAATAATTGAGTTCACATTTCACACAAATTTGTTTTAGCCTTTTTGAGGATAATAAAAATTTTATAAGAGTTTCGTTAATGGGTGTTCTAAAAATACTTATTAAATGATTAAAGAGTATTATGTAAGTTTGAATTTTAATTTTTTTATTAAACTCGACGAAAAAGTTTTAAGTTTGATTCCTGTTGATAGTCATTTGTTGAGATAATTTCGAATGCACGATCTGCAGTCACTTATCTTACGTTGTCAGATACGACACATCTTGTTCTGATTTGAGGATTGAACAGGTTATTTACCTCCAGATTTTTTTTTACCAAAATTTTTTAAAAAATATTTAAAAATAAAATTTAAAGTTTTAATTTAATATAATATTATAAAATATTTAAAAAATTAATATAAGCATGAGAAAAAATATTTTTTAAGGGGGGTTGGGGTGTAAAACTACGACAATCTTCATGTTAAGTTAAAGCATATTTGATCAATAAAATTTTCGTAAATGATTAAACTTTAAAGTTTGAATATAAAATATTTAAATTTAAATTTTACAGTTTTTTGTTGATTATTGGTAAATAATTTATAAATTTAAAAAATTAAAAATTTTCATAATTTTTTTTTTATGAATTGATAATTATTTTAATCTCAAAAATAAAATAATTTTTCTTATTTTTTACAAAAAAAAAAGGTAAATACATAATGAGACACATTTTGAGATACTTATGATTTCAATTCAGGAGACTGAAAAGACAAACCAGAAAAGCGTGAGCTCGGCTCTGTCGGCTTCCACAAATCCTAATATATATGGTTAAATATTATCATGTATAATTAGCCCTGGTTTAAGGATGTAATTACACTTAACATTGGTAGGTTAAGATTAATTAAAATTGGATACGATAACATATGATAAAAAAATAAAAACATTAAAATAAATTAATATCGATTAAGATTTTAATAAAAATAAAAAAATTATATTTTATATTTTTATATGAATATAAACTATTTATGTAAAATAAAAATAAAAATTATTAATATTTTACCTAATACAAATGCTGCGGGCTTAAAAAAAATGGTATTTCCAAGGCAAAGGAGAAAGGCAGAAAGACTGCAGGTTATAAGCTTCAATCTCAACAGGGTTTTTTTATAGCATTTTTAAAAATTTTTGGGGGTTTCTTTGTTTTTGCTCTCAACTGCCTTGTCTGTCTTTTTTTGTTTGTCAAGTGCCATAGGCTTCTCCACTGGTCATAAACAAACTTTGCAGGCTTTCGTGTCAGAATAGTTTCTCTTTTCTATGTCTCTCTCTCTCTCTCTCTCTCTCTATCTTAAGTATGCTATCTGCCAAAGTGATAAAAGAAGGTCCTGCAAAAGCTATTCTAAACTCTCTTCACATATACAACACACACCAAGCAAAGCTCTCTGTTAAACACCCAACCCAAAGCCGAAAGCAACCCCAAACTACAAATCTCTTCTCTCTCCATGGACTTGCATCTGAAGCAATGGAGAAACCAGCATGAGTCAGAGCAACAACCTTCTGCAAAGATACCAAAACTTGATCTCCTTGATCCTCATCATCAACAACAACAGCATCACCCATCTGGGTCTTCTGCTCTCCCTTTGTTTCTACCTGAACCCAACAGCAAAATTAGCAGCAACCTATCAGCAGTTCCAGATTCAATCTCCAGGTTTACCAGTAAGAATTTTTTTCCCTCTTTTTCTTTATCTCATCTTGACAGGAACCTCAGAAAGTTTTACTCCCTGGTTTGGAAAGTTTCTGGCTTGTTTACTTCCTTGATTTTTGCCTTCCAAATTACCTTTTCTTGCTTTAAAACCTTGTTGGGGTTCTCACTTCTCACTTTTTTTTTTTTTGGATAGGGACAGGAAGTTACTTCAGCTTGGCTCAGTGGCAGGAACTTGAGTTACAAGCTTTGATCTACAGATACATGTTAGCTGGAGCTGCTGTTCCACCTGAACTCCTCCAACCAATCAAGAAAAGTCTTCTTCACTCTCCTCCATATTTCCTCCACCACCCTCTTCAACTCTACTCCCATTACCAGCCAGCTTGTAAGTTATTATTCATCAACTATCCTTCTTGGTATACTATTAAACGTTAAGTTCATTTACATTTTCTTTAAATGCACAAGACTTCGGCACAATAATTCCATGGATTCGTATCAATTAATGTTTAGATTTTTGTCTACCTACCAAGACAGTGAAACCCCCTAGGGTTTGTTCACATAACGTTTTAAAATTTTACATTTTTGTCAAGATCTGATTTCCCAATTTGTGATCTGTTCTTGCTTTTATATTTATGAAATGTGTACTTTATCGTATTCTAAATAAATTTATTTTGCGTAAGGCATAAGAAAACTATATGCTAAAAGAAATTGGTTCACAAATAATTTTATATTATGTCTACCTTGGGAATTAATGAATCCTTCCAAAAAATAAATACTAGTAGTAGTAGTAGTGAACTTTTGATGAAGAGTATGAACACGTGTGATCAGTCTTGCAATCAGGGCACTTTGGAAGAGCAGCAATGGATCTAGAGCCAGGCCGGTGCCGGAGGACTGACGGTAAGAAGTGGAGGTGCTCGAGGGATGTGGTGGCCGGCCAGAAGTATTGCGAGCGCCACGTGCACCGTGGCCGCAACCGTTCAAGAAAGCCTGTGGAAATGCCCACATCTAACACCATCACCACCCTCACCCAAAATAATGCGGCTGCTCCTTTTGTTCGTGCTTCTGGTGCTGGTGTTGGTACTATTGGATGTGATGCCCTTAAAGCCAGTTCCCCAACTACCCCTTCACCCTTAGCAGTGGTGGCTAACGGACCCAACAATTTTGGCCTTTCGGGGCCTTCCCCTCCCATCGATCTTCTTCACCTTAATCATAGGTAATCTTACTGCCTATCTTCTGATTTGGAACTGCTTTTACTCTTTCACCCATGTTGTTTAGCTGGTAATTTACTGGGCTCATGATTAGGAAAGCACCCTGCCACATTGATAAGAACAGCTGAGCGAAGGGATTTGGTCTCTCGGTAGTTGATGTAGGTATCTAACAACTTCAAAGTCGACTTGGATTCTAAGGTTCGATTTCTCTCGTATCAACCCGGTGATGGAGGGAAAGGAAAGGGAAGGAGGTAGATAGGAAAATGTATAATTTACAGTCTTTTTATATAAGAGGCTTCTACAGGTAATTTTGTTGGTAGCACTGGTGTACTTGTGCTAATTGGAAAATTACAAAATATGAACACAAGAATAGTTTATGTGTTTGTGGAATTGCATAAAAAGCGGTGATATCTATTAAATTTGATATTTGAATTTTAGTACTTATTTATTATTTTTTATCTAAAAAAAATTAGACAATATTTTTGTCCTTGCTCTTATTTCTAACCCTGAATTGAACTGTGAGTAGGTCTTAAGTTATGACTTAAATGGTTGAAAATGTAGAATGAGACGAGGGATGTACAAATTTATCCACAACTCGTAAGAAAGTTTTATTTATTTATTTATTTATTTTTATGTTGTATGAATGAAGATTTGAACTTAAAAAAGTAAAGGCAATTTTGCTATACTAGTTGTTGTATTATAGTTTAAAGAAGGATGGGAAATATGTTACAAACTCGTGGAACTTTGGATTCCACAGAATCTTTTGTTGGGATGTCACGCTTTTTGTATAGTGATGATATCCTTCCATGGTAGGACCCTATTAATGTATCTTAAATCTGGACAGGAGATTTGGATTCGGTACAAACTTACCCCAACCACTTCTTTAGTCGTTTGTAACGTGCTTTGCTTATGCTTTCGTACAATTTATTTTCTCTTTTTTTTTTTGGGCTTGTCTTTTGTTCTACAATGTTCTTTTATGTCTGGCAGTTCCTTAGAGTCCAAAAATGAACATAAGGGCCTTTTTGAAACCCCAAATGAAGTTGATAACAGATCTGATGGTCACATTTTGAGACATTTTTTTTATGATTGGCCGAGATCCCTACAAGAACCTGATAATGCTGGAACAAATGCAAGCCCAATAAATTCTGCGACATGCCTTTCCATTTCAATGCCTTGAAATTCATCGTCAGATGTGTCGTTGAAGTTGTCTACCTGCAATGGAGACCAACTGGGTCCCCAGGACGGCGAAAGGTATCAGCCACAATTGAATTGGGCAACGGGTTGGGCCACAAACCAGGTGGCTTCCATGGGATGACCCCTCGCTAAGGCGTTAAGATCATCAACATCTAATTCATCACCAACTAGTGTTCTGCATCGGTTGCTTAGGGGTTCTGCATCTGAAACTAGCTATGTCAGCACTTGAATTCTGTGTTACTTTCAACTTTAACCGTTTTAGGCACTCCAAACACCTTTCCATGTAAATTGCTTGCATTTTCTGTGTTCTTAACTGTAAGTTTTAGATGAAAGGAGTTACTGTCTGCTTTGAAGAGGTTAGACCTTTGCGAGAAAAATCAAGGGCGCAATAACTTCAAATTGCGAGTTTAAACGGCTTTTCAAGCAGGCCTCCAAGAAATAACTAATAAAATGTATAAAAGGAAAGAACATCTACAGCAATACCATGATAATTTATTAAATTATTCAGCCATTCTTGCATTCCTGCTGCAGTAGGATGCTCAATACCTTGTACGAATTCGGGGGAAACCTCACATTGATGTAAATGGCATGTTTAACCGACATCAGCACTTTATATAGCTTGAAAGATAACAGAGCGCGAAACATTTACAGAAGCCACGGAAATATTGTTTTGATAGAAAATTGGCTTTATTGCTCATGAAAGAATTACCTTCTACAGCTCCGGATTTTGCTTGATATGCCCGGGCATCAGTATCGGAGGTTTTATCGGTGATAGGTTCATCTCCAGGGCAGTGAAACTCGCCATGATGGAATTATATATTGTGTAGTTTGTAAACCAAAAATACCGTATCAAGTGGGGGCGGCCACTCCAGAAGACAATTTTAAGCCACTCCAATATCACGAGATTCTGTGATAGAGAAAAGTTTAGCAGTCTAAAGGTTCTGATTCTTCCACAGGTTCTGCTTCTTCAACGGTTTCAAAATTTTCCACAGGTTCTGATTTGCCAACTGGTTTGGATTCATCTTCTACTAGTGCATAAACAACTGCTGTTCTACTTGGTGCATACACCAAGAAGGAACGAGGCCGGTCATCATACCATCCCTCCTGGAGAACCCCACATATTGGTCTTAAGTTAGAAAACTTTTTGAGTGAATATTAGAGTAGATAGAATTCAGAAATAAAACTTCAGAGAATTTCCTTACAGCGCTGAAGTACTCGGCATTATGGTCAAGCCTATTGAAGCCTCCAAATAATGGATCATCTGAATCCAATACAATCTGGCAGAGAAACAAAATAAAATATTAAACCATCTCGAGACAAACATTGTAAACTTTGTTGAAACTGTATTTGAAGACTCATTAATCAGATGCAAAATCCATATCAATGTATATGAATTAAGGTGCGGAAACAAAATGTACAACGAATATTTTGCATGCAAACTCTCATCTGTATGAACGTCAAAATTATTTTACCTTGTACTTTCCTGGCTTTAAGCAGCCCACTCGGTAGTCAAAATAGCTTTTATTCCAGTGAAAGTTGAACACGAAAACCAGGTTGCCTCTTTCAAAGACAATCATCCTATCTCCTTCATTCTTCCGTGATATATATTGGTGCTCAGAAGTCATGAACTGAATAAACAATAAACTGTGCATCGGTTTTACATTCTAAACAACAAGACATAAAGCTTCTTGGCTACCCAGACAACACGGTTTGATTTGCATAAATCTCATTGCATGAAATAGGTGAGAATTGTAGAGAACCATGTCACAAAGTCCACTTCTACAAAATCAAAGCTAAAACTTTCTATTCCAGGGAATATAAACTAAAGGGAAAGAAATTGTTGAAAAATTGAGTAATCCAACGAAATCTGAGTTCTTTTCTTCTGTCTTTTATGTGGTAAGAGATAGAATCTACTAAAAAAGCCATGCCCACAGAAGCAGATAATGGTGAACCTGAATATACGGATTTCTTTTAGGTTTTGAAGATCCATGACCATGAAACAATTTTACATGAATTTATTAAAGATAAAATTTGTCAAAATGCTTAAAGGAAAGACTTCAAGATTATTACAATAACAAACTAAGCCTTATATCTCATAGCTTTAGGGTCGACTGTATGAAAGGCCCGGAAAGAATCATGTTAGGTTGTAATTTTGAATCTTCTTGCGTCACTAATTTCTATCAAAAACTACTTTTTCATTTACTTTCTTAACCCTCATATCATTTCTTATTACTTGCATCCATGATTTTTGAATAATGATTTCATGATTATTGTTTAACAAAAATAAAGCCATTTACAAGTGAAGAATGCAACAGATATTTTGCTAATTGAAGTGAAAACAGAAAGTAATTACTAATGATTACCCCTATCCACAGATCACTATCAAAATTCGCTTCCTATCCTCTATCCTGCTTAATGTTCATTCATTTTCTTTGTTTATTATTCTTTAATTTTAAAATTTCACATCATTGGGTGTGATTAATCACTAGTACAGAAAATAAAATAAGCAATAAAATGTAAAGTTAAATAATAGCATCCATCAGCACACATAAAACAACAAAATAGTAAGCACCATCAATACTTACACCATACTTTGCTTCGAGATGCTGCATTGCCTGATCAAATTCCTGCATCCCACGATACCTCAGATAGTCTGCATCCCCCTGTGTGCATGTAACCAAATATAACAATGTACTGTCGCACACTCAAGCACTATAACACACAAAGCAGAGACATTTATGCATAGCAACAGTCGGGACCAATTATACCATTATAGAGTTGATTGTTGATTGTAAAATACAAATACAGATTAAAGTAAAGTCAAATATCTACTGAACTTTTAATAAATGTAACACAAGCAAAATATGAATTGAAGCCGAAACTTACAAGATCAAACCTGCGTCGACATTTATCATAACTGTTACCATTCCCTGGAATTACCATGCCATTAGGAAGACACTGATCACCCCTTGGAAAATCAATCCACTCTGCAAAAAAAAAAACAAAAGAATAATGGAGAAATTATAACATAGCATTTAAGAACTGTCAAATTATACAATTTGGAAATGCTGGCTGTTGCAGCCAGTTGATCTTACCAGGATGTCCAAATTCATTTCCCATGAAATTCAAATATCCTTCTCCACCTAGTCCCATGGTGATAAGCCTAATCATTTTGTGTAATGCTATCCCACGATCTATAAGTGCAGTACTAGGTCTATCTAGAGCCATAAATTCATACATATCCTGCAAAAAGGAATTGAAGCTAATAATTTTATAAATTATAAAGCTGAATCAGACTGGTTATACACATTTCCCCTATTTAAATAAAAACAGGGTCACTTTTTATACCTAGAGGCCAAGGAAAGTTAACTGCAAATTTCTAATACCTAGAGGTCAAGGAAAGAAAAGATTGTTGAGTAAAAGCATTTCCTCTGGCCAGTTAGTTTTCCAAGTGCAAATTGCTCATTAGCATGAATATAAGTAAGAATATATTTAACCTTATCCATCAACCAGAAGGCTATTGTTTTGTCACCAACTAGAGCTTGGTCATGACTTTCAGCATAAGCCACACACTTTTCCAACCACCTCCTATTGGTAAGCGTGTGAATAATATCCCCAATTTTCCAGTCTTCATCCCTCTTCCTATATTACATAACAAGACAAAAAGTACATATAGTTTAATATCATATACATTTCACAAGATAGTAGATTCAAGGTTATCACGTGGTAAAAAGTTTTAAATTGGACAGTTACGAACTTGAGAAGCTCGATCCATTTATCAGCAATGGCCATTTGCAGACGGTAATCAAATCCCACACCACCATCTTGGACAGGAAGGCAGAATGTTGGCATTCCACTCACCTATACCATACACAATATTATGATTAGCATAACAAAAACAAAGGAAATTAACATTGTCCTGAAAGAATTACTCATCTTGATAACAGTCCTCTTAGTGTTATTCCTTTATTCATTTTACTCATTATTCAATTATTTATTTATCACAGATGGAAGTCTACTTTCCAACTGTCTTGCCAGATTATTCACAGAACTCTCAGAATGATTTTTTGTGAATAATATATGAAAGTCTGCAACTAAATCATTCCAATAAAAGCATTTTGTCAACTAAATGTTATTTACAAAATAATGCTAATATATCTAGTGGGTAAAAACATAAATCATATTTTGTTGTCCTAGTAGCCTTTTAGGTCACAAAAGATGAAATTTGTTAACAGCAAGGATATTTTAAGATTTCTAGAGATTGTTGTTCCTTCCCTTCTAGTGTTTTTTGGAATTTTCATTTTTGGCCTCTTTTAGTTACTATGTTTCCATAACTCTTGGTCTACAATAAAAGTTAGTTCAATTTGCAACAAGCATCTTAATGATTCTTCAGTTCATTCAGCAATAGGAACTACAATATCAAATTCACTTAATTACTAGCACGGTGACCTACATATTAGTGGCATAAGAATTCAATTGATGCATGAAGAAAAGTGATGAAGCAGTAGAGAATTAGCAAAACATGCAAACCGCACAAAAGTGTTGTAGGCTTATGCACACGCAAATACACGTGTGCAAACTTTTTCAAAACCATTTCAAACCATAACATCCACATAGATCATGTAAAAATGTTTTGAAACCCCCTTCTTTACTCAATCCACTGCAACAAATGTTGCTGTAGAAGATAAATTGAACATATAATTCTGGGAATAGATAAAAGGTTACAAGTTGAAGGATGCTCAACATGACTCAGAAAGGAGTTATAGAACATACATCTTCACCAATGGTAACAGCCTCAGGATAGAGCCCATGAATCATATCATTAACCAGCATCAGGTAAACAACAGCATCTACATCAGTTGCATATCCGAAGTACTCATTGTAATTTCCAGTAAATGTTACCTACAGCAAGTTCAGGGAAACAAAAGTTAAGCCGGGGCAATCATTATAAAGATGCAGTGATGCTTACTCCCACACCCTTTAGTCCTCAAGAGAATTTAATTAAGAAACAAACATAGAGAAAAGATGCTTCATCACTTCCAAGAACTAAATGTTATATCAGTTCCACTTCTCTATATTGAAAATAAAGTCAAAACTTTGATAATCAACATCTGAACGTGCAATTAAGTTATTAAATAACACCAAGAAAAATAGAAAATTTGCAAAATCTCTCAGATAATACCTGCAACCCATGATGGGTATACATCATTGAAGTCACACCATCAAATCTAAACCCATCAAACTTATATTCTTCCAGCCACCATCTTGCATTTGAAAGAAGAAACCTTAGCACCTACAGCAAGTAAAAGTTAATATTTACACAACAGGATGGGAGGAAGACAATATTTCAACAAGCTACTCTTTAAAAGAAGTTTCAATAGAAGTACATACTTCCCAGCTTCCATAGTTAAAAAGGCGAGAGTCCCACATCCAGTGGTGACCCTTTGACCCCGAGTGGAAGTAATGAGCATCAGTTCCATCAAACATGTTCAATCCATCTAACACATTATTAGATGCATGGCTGCATCCATCAAACATCAGTCAAATACAAAGAGGGATGAGAAAATTAATTAGTAACTTAATTTAACTAGAAAATAAAAATTATCTGAGACTTATAGAAAAAGACAGCTTACTCAAAGGCAACAGATTAAATACTCAAATAAAAATTTGCTTCTACAGCTTAAATAAACAATTAACATTAACAACACACAAAAGATAAATTTTGCTTTATAAAAAAATACACTAAAAGTACCATTTGGTTGTTTTTGCTACAAGATTTTTGCTTCCAGAAGCAAAAGTATGTGTGGATAGAAAAGCAATTAAAAGCAATAAGAATTATTAAAAATTAAAAATATAACCTCTTTTAGAACAAAATACCATGATTTTTCTTTTAATAGAACAATTATACTGGGATTTTATCGCATTTTATTCATTTATACATTTTCAATCAATTATGACTTTGCTTTCTCCTTTTAGATTTGCATTTTAGCAACCTTTTATTAGGAAGCAAAAAGCAACCAGAAAAAGCCTAGTAATAAGTGCAACAACCAATAAGAGCCTAAAATCTCATGGCCATATGTGCATGAAGTCTACTGGAAGAATGAATAAGTGTCAAAGCAGGAAAAGAAGAGGGAAGGTTTACATTCTCTTTTTTTGTACAAATATCCAGCGAAAAAAAAAAGTTTGCATTAAAAATGTTAACAGCAAATAAGAAGGGCGTGTTTCTAGAAATGAAATCTCCTGCAAATCAAATTATTACCTGTGCACAATATCCATAAGAACAAGTAGACCCAACTCATGAGCCCTATCTATCAGTGACTTAAGATCATCAGGGGTTCCAAAGCGGCTGCTTGGTGCAAAGAAATTGGTCACATGATACCTGCAACATATTAAATGCAAATTGTTAAAAGTAGAAGAGGTCAGTTTCCATAACTGAAACTAAATTCTGAAGAAATATTTCTGTTCACATCTACAACATAGCAGTTTAGAATGAGTTACGAAACATAAACAGCAACAAAATAGATTTGAGCTAATATTATGATAGAGATAATACCCAAAGCTTGCATAATATGAGTGCTCTTGAATAGCCATGATCTGAACAGCATTATATCCAAGTCTTTTTATGCGGGGAAGAACATCATCTCTAAAGTTGGCATACGTGTTAATTATTGGCTCCTGCATCTCAGAGTTGATTGGATTAAGAGAACTAGGAAATGGATTAGCTATACCACAATGCAACAAGGAAAATAAAGACTGAAGGTTTTTGTGGGACAAATTTTCTTTTAACAACAGTATGCATGAAAATTTAGCTACTTACAAAAGAGCAAACATTACACAAGGATTGGAAAGGGAGCAAAAATTACAAAGTATGTTAGTCTTATATTAAAAGTACATACAACCAACATATAAGGCTATAAGTTGATTGATGCACAATCAAATGTTAACAAACAACAAGAGGAACTACCAAACGAAAGCCTAAAGATTAGCTGTTAGAATCTTCTATTGTAAACACAAACACCACATCTTAGGACCTTGTGGATCCAACCCTCCTTCAAGAGAAATAAAGATCTTTTTACACCTTAATTGATAACCCAACTATCATAAGCACAAGAAGATGCGAAATAGTGATAAATTTTAGTTTAATTGCAAATTCAGGGGCCTCTTAATGGGTTTTTTCTTTTTTGGCCAAACCTCTTAATGGGTTTTAGAAGTGGGTGAAGAATCATAATGAAATGCAATCCTAACAGCTTCTATTTAATTGTTTTGTAACTGCTATTTAAGATAGTTCTAAACACAAAGCAGTTCACAGAATCCAAGTCACTAGCTGTTTCACATTTACTAAAGTAATACTTGTTATTTAGTACAATCAGAGTGGCCTAATTTCCTTTAACCAAAGAACACCAAGGGAAGGCCATGTACACCTACATGTATTTATGTGGGCTTAATTTGATGGGTGTTCTCTTTAAGAGAGGCCACTCTGCCATCTGGACACAGGATAAAACAAATAGTTTCATTTAAAAATTTACAGGCCTTTAGAGACAGCTGTATAGTTTGGTGCTTTTTAAGATGTTCATTGCAAGTTTAAAATGTTTCTCTCTTTCTTCCTTTGTTTTTGGGTAAAATTGATAGTTTAAATTTAACACTACGAAGATTTTCCTGTAAAATGTAGCCTTAGAAAGCTCCTGCTTTACTTTTCAGTCATAATTCCATGCAGGAACACTTCGTCCTTGCAAATCTTGAAAGCAACAGTATAAAAAATATGATCTCACATATGATAGCATTTAATGAAGCTTTTTAACAAACTTAAGGTCCTTTAAGATTCAATCCAACATATAAATGCAACTGAGCACAGAGACAGAAGAGTTGAATAACAATTTGCTACATGCAAGGGAAAAGATGTTGATTGTAAATGCAAAGATTGGTTACAGAAGGGAGATGCATACCATGCTACTCATTCCAACATGTGACTCATAAATTCTAAGAGATTTTGGTCTTTTTGGTTGGCGGTGTTTGAATACATACTTTTCCTGTCACAATATAAATATCATTAGTCACAATAGAATACAAGAAATTTGAGATAACAAACATACGACAGACTGAACTAAGTTGACCGTGCTGTGCGGTGATTAAACTTGAGCAAGGAAGAACATAATTTAGAAACTGACTTCATATATGGAAGTGAACCAACCATAATAGTTTTGTTAAAAACTTTTAAGGGAATTGATCTTAACATGAAGGTTATGTAAGACACTCATAAAACAACCTCCATGAAGTCATTTTAAAATTATGAAAAACATTAGTTGTACTTCTGATTTTACCCAAGCTCCAAATATTTCAGCAACTTATAGTTTGAAAAGAATAAGTTATCATCTAATGTTTCCAACAAAATCAAAAGATCAAACAACCACTAAATATACCTCTTCTGGTGGATCATAGTATATTCCATTGTATGGGATTTCACCAGGTGCTTGAACAGAGAACTTGATCCATGCAGGAATGGAGTCCTTAATCCCAGATGGAGTTTCCATATGAATCTATAATTAAATGGTCAAAAAGTTAAAATGGACAGATGGAAAGGAGCTTTAGATTAATGATAATTGATATGATCATAACAGTCAAGAAAAGGAAAATTTTATATTTTTCTTCTTCGTCTTTTCTTTCTTTCTTCTTTGTAGGGTGGGAGTTAGTTGGAACTGAACTCAGCTTCCTTGAATAATTTTGTTGACTTGGAAACCACCCATTAAATACTTTAGTGCCAGAACATTGAACACCTTACACTGATAGGCAGAATTATATCGCATTTTACCCTATTCCATTTGTTCTGGCAAAGTTTCAGAAGATTAATCCTGCACTAAGCTCTTAGAAGGATTTAAAATTAGCATAAATGGTCTTATAAGCAAGTTCTACATCATGAAGAGCTTAACAAATTAGTAACTTTTATTATCTCAATTAGTGGAAGGAGCGGCATCCATACTTTAAGATTCTTTAAATCTCAGCTACCTAGGAGTGTTGACCATATATGCACATAAAATCACGATGGGCATCTATAGATTTTGTTTAGAGCAACAAACTTGAAAGGGTTGTTGTAACCATCCATCTTAAAAGAAATATTGAATGGAGATGAAATTAATATGATATTGAATTCTATGACTGATTAATACAGTACATTCCTTGATAAACCTTCATATCAAATATACTAATTTTCTTATTTCAACTCGTATAAACTTGGCATTATTTCCAAAATGTTGAACTCATGATCTATCAAACACAGCTACTAGCCTTCTCACACCCGCTATTTTTCTCATCACTATATTACAAGTTCTCCTTATCATATTCTTTATAAGATAGAAAAAATATATTTTACTTTTTCAATTATTTAGTAACACACCTTTGTGTCGTGAATTAAATCAATTATTTTGAAGGTTGAATTACAAATCAATGTTCAAATCATATACTGTAATATTTTATTCAAAAGAGATTTTTGCCAATTAGACATGCAATCGGATCACTGTAAAAATCAGTGTCATACTTAAAGGTTCCTGGTCCACAATCATGACCAAAAGGATAATTACATTGTTGGTTTACAAGGAAAGTGTCACAATTTTTTTTATAATTTCTCTTTGCTTTGAATCAAAAAAAAAAAATGGAAAAAGGAAATAGTAAACAAGTAACATTTGAATGTAAACACAATAACTTTCAAGAACCAAATTTATATTCAGCCACAAGAAATTTACCTTCACTCGAGAACCATGCAGAATTGGTGGTGAACCATCAACATTATTAGGCAAAAAGATCTCCCAGATACCAAACTCATTCTGTTAAAAAACAATTAATATTTGTAAAATTAAACACATGATGGAAAATAAAAGATTAAAAATACACCAGACAACACTGTCAATGTAAGTTAACATGGCTTTCTAAACACTTACAACAGAGTCACCTTCTCTTTTATACTTGAGACTGCATGGCATTAAATAAATGAATATGCTGATACAATTAATTGTTACATAGGCAAGGTGACTTTTACTGCTTCATTATAAAAACTTTGATAAAGTCTATCTTCTTAACTTTTACATTTGGGACTTCAAATTATACAAACTGCATCAGACCATGCACCTAATCTTTGGTCCATTAAGAAGCTTATTCACACTGGCATATAAACAAAAAGACCCATGTTTCCATTCAGATTTAACATTAAAGTAAGTGTTTTGAGAAACCAAGCTTAAATAACATTTAACTTCTTTCAGTATGTGCATTTAGAGAAAATAAGCATTGACATATGAACAGCTGATGCAAATACTACAGTTTCCTAGGGCAAAAATCTTAAAGCACATTGGAGAGAGAGAGAAAGCAGGAGAAGGCAGAAGCTCATTAAAAGCCATAAATCACATGGAGTTCATCAATAGATATAAAACTGCATGACTGCCTCAAAAACAAAGTGCTGAGTAACTGACATTTGACACGTCTGCAGCATCATCTCCATCATGTGACCGCATAATGTATAACACGTATAGGAGGGGAAGATTCACAAAGCAATCAAACAAAATCATTTTTAGGTGCACCTAGTAAAGTACTGTCCAATTACTATGTACTTCACTACACTTCAAGTAATCCATCAATGGCAGAACAGTTCTGACAGACATGGAAAGTATCAATTTAATTAACAAGTAATGCACATGTGGCATTTGTTCTTGCAGAACAAAACATAACATACCCGGGTCATAATATCTGCATTAGGGTTCCAATTGTTAAAATCTCCAATCAGTGCTGCTGACTGAAAAAGAGAATGAAGTAAAATAATCAGACCAATTGAAGCGAAAACAGATCACCTAGAAGTTACTAAGATTTTTTTGTTTGGATAGAAGTTAATAAGATTAAGTTGTTAAAATCTCAAAATGTTAAAATGATGCATAACAAACCTTAGCTCCCGGTGCCCACTCTCTATAAGTTATTCCTTTCTCGCTGAAAGCCATATGAGATTATGATTAGAAAGAGCAACATCAACTTATCATAAAACAAATTTTTAAGGCATAAAAGATGAATGAAGAATAACATTTTTACTAAATATTAAAGTTAACAAGATAGCTATCAAGCAATATAATACAAAGAAATGACAACGGTAACAAGGAGAAGTCATTGAAGAATAAATAAATAAATAAATGAAAATACAAGTGACCCAATAAAGAAAGGACTAACTGTAAGGGATGTCATAAAATTTCTCAATTTTTACTTGCACCAAAGAATCAAATACTTGTTCCATACTTTGTTAAGCATCAAGGAACTTTATTTCTTTCTGAGAATAATCTGCCTGAATTTTAAACATATTACATATAAAAAGTAAAACTTTTGGAAAGTCATGTGAGCTGTTCCCACACTCCATTATAAGAAAATTCCAACATTAATTTAATTTAATGAAAATTTTTTTATTTTAACCGAAAGAGTAATAAATCAAAACAAGTTACATTTAGTGTAAGAAGCAATGACATGCAACCATGAGAGATGCAATCAATATGCAATGCTACAGCAACTAAAAATAAGCCCATGCTAACAACTAGATATTGGGAAGAATGATAACCTGTGTGTGAAGCCAAACTTCTCATAGCCACGAGAAAATGCCTCCAAACCACCTTCATACTTGTCAATTTCCTCACGCATTCTTTTGTATCGTGCATACCTGTAATTGGATAAAACATAAAAGGGAATCAAATCTTGACAGTTTTAACTTAGTCTGTATATAAAACAGTGAAGTAAAAATGCAAATACAAATAAAAATAAGTAACTGGACAGGGACAGATAAGAAGACTGCCTCAACAAAATAGAAAAAAAAAACATATATTATAAGAGATATAGCACCAGAGAGCTATGCAGTGAAAACAAAAACATATTGATTGTCAAAATTAAAGATTGCAAGTTAAGTGACACCTAAAACAAGCAAGTTAATCAGACATAAAAAATTTGACATTTTTAGGATCTTTTTCCAACAAAAAGTGTTAACTCCTTCCCCCTGTGTTCAAAATGCATATATAATCATAATACCATAGGGAGCTTATTGCTTTAGCGATTTAAACCAGTCATAGAGTAGTAATTCACTTTAAAAATCAATCATATTTGATTCAATTACAGATTCTAGGAAATGAAAAAAGAAAACAGAACTACTTGCATAGTTGTCCAACCAGATAAAATCTAGTTAAACAACTAAATAACAGAAACAGAAATCCAACAAAGGGCCCTAAAGTAACGAAAACAAACAAAAAACATAATAAACTGTGAATGCTCTTTCAAGTATTGCTTCTCAAAACCATAGAATAAATGTTAACTGTTAATAGGAGACATGAAAATGCAGATTTATCCACTGAGCTCTGATCCAGAAACCGGTATGGACCTCCAAGGACCAGAACAAGTCTGGCAAAATGCAGATAGGAAAACACAGTGTATAAGCAACCACAAACAAGATTGAAAAAAGAAAATTCCAACTACTAGAGAACTAAAATTTACAGCCATCTTGTAAAGGCCAGAGGAAACTCAATATTTTAAACTCAAATTATTAGACATACAAGTAAATAACAGAGGATTATCTTACCGGTAATCAATATGTTCACGGAAACCCAACAACGTTGGATCTATTTCATATATTCTCTTTCCTGCACCAGGAGGGGGAATGGATCTTGGTTTTGCTTCACTTTTAGCAGTACTTACTTTCCTATGTAAAGGGATAGGTGGCTCCTTAGCATGAAATTCTTCATCATTATTTGCAAGGGCATATGGAACAGATTCTTGTTCCTCAACCTCAACCTTCTCATTATCTTTCATTTCTTCACTATCTACATCATGAATTACCTATTAAAAAAAAATCATAAAGAGATAAGAAAGATAAAGTCCACTCTTGTATTTTGAATTGGTTACCTGAAATGAGCATAAAAATTAGCTGCTAATAGGCAGAAGTTCAAAGATAAAAACCAAGAACATACCATTCCCCAACCTTATTCCACAGCATTTATATTGTTTTTAAGATTTTTTTTTTTTCCAAAAGAGTCATAGTTCAGAATTAGAACAGTAAGTCATCAATATCAAGTCAAAACTGTTTTAGAGAATCAACAAGCTTGAATGACATCAACACTATCCCAAAATTTCACTTTTCAATTTACTCCCAAGTATAATATAAACTCATGAAAATTCAACTGCACTCAATCTAAAACTAAAAGTGTAATATTTCCATACATTCAAAAATACAGTCAGCATTATTCCCAGAAAATCACAAACCTTTGGATCATCTGAAATAGTGCTAGGACCTTCCAATTGATCTGTCAAGGATGAAGAAGCATCACCCTGACCACCGGGAACAAGTACTTTCTTGGATGCAGCAACAGTTAAGTATGAGGAGTCTGAATCATAAGAAGACTTTTGCGCAAAGATCTTCCCTACAATCATCAAATCAGTTCGCTACATACTGCAAAGCAAAAGATTATAAAAGCAGGCACCACCCATAGAGAATTCTTTTGACGGTACTGAAATCATACTAACAAATACAGATCCATCATCATTACAGAAAAAGAGATATCAGAAACAGGGATCATAATGGCATGCTCAGAAAATAAAAGGGAATGATCCGACCATGACTTTCGAACAAAGCTGATAATGCAACAAACCATACACCTATAAGGCTATAACATTGTCAACAGTAATGATTTCATCTTCTGCCGTATACTTTTCGAGCTCAAAACCAAGTTCCCTACCTGCAAAACTAAAGCATTCCTTTGATCCTTTCTCCACTTAAGTTTTTCTGCTATTACACTACAATCATCCCTTTTACAATTCACTTTTAACATTTAAACTAAGCTTCCTGCGATTTGCAATTATCACTTCATTTCAAAAATCAGAAACTTCTTTATGGTAATTGTTTTTTACTGCAACAAATTCAGCGGTAACATTTTGAATCACGCTAATCAGTTCTTCAACAATCCCCTTTTTTTCAATATTAACGCTAATAACAAATCAACAATCATGAATGTGTAAATCAAAGAAGATTTAACTATTAATACTTTAATTATAAATATCATTAAGAAAACGACGTTGCATTTGTATTCATTTGTTTCTATGTTTGGATCATTACAACTTGAACTCTTTTTCGCCATCGTTTCTAACTTCAAAAAAAAAAAAAAAAAGATAAATCAAGCATCGTAGTTTGAGTAATAAAATTTGGATCACTGTTTCATCAGGAACTTTTTCTTAACCAAAAAATGCAAAATAAGATTCGATAAGTTGTATAATAACTAGAAAAAGTGCCCAAAGTTCAAACTGAATAAAAAATTATGTAAATAAATAAATAAAAAAGAGAGAGAGAGAGAGAGAGAGAGAGAGTATCTCTAAAAAAGCAAAAAAAAAGCGTAAAAAGTATAAAAGCAAAGAGAGAATACGAGAAAATTGATCATTCTTCAACAAAAGAGAGAAACTGCTAGTCCTACGAGCGCCATTGAAGCTTGACTGACAGAACCTGTAGACTGAAGGAACACAAGGTAACCGTAAACCAGATGCACTGTAAACCATTATTTATTTTCCACTTTTTTTTTCTTTCTGTTTGGAAAGCAAGAAAAGGTGAGAAAATTTATCAAAGATAGATCCAAAAGGAGAGCGAATTAGAGAGAGAAGAGAAGATTTTGCCAATCAGATATCCAAAGGCCACCGAGAGAAGGTGAGTGAGCGAGAAAAGAAAAAAAATCAAGGTTAGATTTTCATTTTGATTTTTTTTATTTTGAAGGAAATGAAAGGAATGGGAGTGCTACGTTTGATGTGGACAATTGCATGGGAATGGTGTGACGTGTGGGAGATAGATTAGGAAGGGGACCCACTCAAATTCATTTTCGACCGTCCATCTCACCCTCTGGCCCTTTTTTGATCTTTTCATCAGATTGGCACCGATGGCCCGCCTCGTAGATTCCGCTAGAGATCAGGAATGAGCAGCTGGGGAAACCTGTGACTGTCATCTCTATATTTTTATTTTTATATTTTATATATATTTTCTTTTTTCTTTATTTTTCTCACAAATTAAAAGAAAAGTACTTTTCCTTCAATGAAATGAAAACCTGCCTTTTTCGCCTGCCAAACTTTTATGGTTTAATCCTTTTTGTTACTGTTTTTTCATTGGCTCAAAATTAAATTTCCTTTTTAAATGGTTTATTCCTCGTAAGACAATACCAGTAGTCAGTTAGCGTGGTCAAGGACTCAATGGTCAGTTAGGCATTTACATTTTTCTTAATTTGATTTCTATAGTTTATAGTCAAAAAATTAATGAATAAATTTTATGATTATAAATTTATTTATATATAATAAAAAATTTAATTTTTTATTCAATTATAAATGAAAATATATATTAAATAAGATATCTTTCATGCAACTTAAGTCCCAATTAAAACATGCTACCAATAATAATAAATTATCGGATATCTTTCAATTTTGAGTAATGTAAATAAGAATTAATGTAAGTAATTAAAGTTTATGATTTAAATGTAAAATATTTAAATTCAAAATTGATAAACAATTTATAAATTAAAAAATTAAATTTATAAAATTTTTTATAAATTAGCAACCTATTTTGATTTTAAAAATGAAATAAACTCGTTTATTCGGAAACTTATTTCAAAAAGAAAAATCTTGAGCAACACCTAAATCTTGCGGCTGTCTGCTATGCAGTACTTTTGACATGGAAGCTACCTCGTACGTCTTAAATCAATTCATAAACTATGCCTCTGATTTTCATAATATATAAGGTTAATAATAATAATAATAATAATCCCAAAAACTTAGTTTAATTTCTTGTGCAACAAACAAGGTCTAAGTGATAAGAATTAACTTGGTGTTGGTGCGAAATCTGTCACCATATGCCCATCTTTTTGTTGGTGTATTTTAGTATGGAGGGGATGGAATTAGCTGACTATCTCTACATATTTACAAATATGAAAAATATATTTTGACACTAACAATGTTATCAATTTGATGCCTAATCTAATGCTAAGAAAAACAACGTAAAAAAATTATAATTTTGACAAATCTTGATTTTCGAAGATGCATTAAAAGTATAGTTTCTTGGCCTATTTTTAGCATTTATTTTTGCCAAAATCAATTCATTGTTTTGGTGTGTTGTAAATAAAAATCAAAGTGGTCTATTTTCGAAAAAAAAAAAAAAAAAACTCTTTACTTAGCTGGCCAGGAGCTGACAATGGGCTCAGGAATAAGGGCCGGGCTAGATCTTTACTTTTAAATTAGGAATGCTTGATGCTGTTGGGCTAGGTCCAGCAACCCAAAAAAAAAGGAATTTAAATTATTATTTGCAAAATTTATTACTGCTGTACTTTTTCTTTTTTTTTTTATCATAGTTTTGAACAACGCAACTAGAAAAACCACGCACGATGCTACGAGGTTATAGATTTTAAAAAAATATAAATTGATAAATTTTTATTTTGTAGAAAACAGTTTTTTTTTTTTATAAAATACTTAATAAAAGAAACAGTAAATAAAGTAAAAAAAAAATAGAAGAGATAAGATGATAAAAATTTTAAATTTTTTTCTAATTTTCTCTTTTTTATTTTAAAATTTGAAAAAATAAATAATTGCATCCAGGCATTTGAGTAAATGATAAAAACGTGTATTTTTTGTTGAACAAAATAAAAAAATCACTTTTCTAAAAATAAAATTATCTAATAATATAGTTAATTAATTATACTATTATTCAGATTTTCATTTTTATTAAAATGATATTAAATAGAATCAGATTAAAAATATAAAAATCACAAATTTTTTTTCCTAAATTACAGAAAAAGATGACTGATATTACTAATTAAGTTCTGACGAGTAATTTGAACGAGGCCAAGCCAACGCCTGGGCCTGGCCTGGAGCTGGAGAAGCGAACACCATAGCCATCCTCAACTTCCCCGGTAAGATCTCCCAAATAAGTAGACTAATTGAAGTTCAACGAATCTTCTCTTCTGCGAAACTATTTTTTTGCTGGGGTGGAGAGAAATTCGCTCAGCTCTTGTAGTTTAATAGTAACGTTTTCGTTTCTTCTTTTGTTTATTCAATAAATTGAAGCATATGAACATTTATAGATTTATTTATTGACCTTTTTTGGATTGAATATTCATCGAAATTAGATATTCATGGTGCGGAAGCTTTCAGTTTCTTGTTAATTGTTTGAGAAGTGATTAATGATATGATTTTGTTGCAAAATATAAACTTTATCAAATTTACCAAAACGTCTCTTAATTAGTTAATTTGATAGAATAATGATTTTGTTTTTCAAAGGAGAATTGGATTAGACATATTCTGAATTAAGATTTCAGCTGTATTTTCCTGATTAGCTTTCTTTTTTTTTGGAATGTGTAGAGGTTGATTGTTTGTCAAATTATTATTACAGAGTTGTATAAAGAAGAAAACAATTCTTTAAGTTTTCATTTTAAAGTAACAGGGTGAAAATGGCTGCGTCCGAGGAGAACAGTGCATTGTTCCCAATCTTTGTTTTGACTATAATGGCTTTGCCGTTGGTGCCATATACTCTTGTTAAGATTTTGAATGCATTCTCGAGGAAGATGATAACTATCCACTGCCAGTGTTCTGTGTGTTCTCGTTCTGGAAAGTATAGGAAATCTGTTTTCAAACGGGTAAATTTGCTCCCAATATCATTTTATTCATGGTTAGGAATGGTATTTGAGTGACAATGTTATGTAATATTTGTGATACTTTGCTTTACATTTTTGCAGATCTCGAACTTCTCAACGTGTAGTAATCTGACCCTTGTACTTCTTTGGATTGTCATGGTGATGCTGATATATTATATCAAGAATACGAGTCATGAGGTACACATTTGTTCTTAATATCTGCTGACAACATGATTTAATCTTGTAGTCAGCTCCTACCTCATCCTTTTATATGATGGAACTTTGGGTTTTAGGTGAAGAATTTAAATCTCATGTGTGGATTGAGAAAGTTTAGATATACTTCTCCCCTAATTGATTTTGTGAATATGGAATGAGTGGTAATATATTAATATCTGCATGATCATGTATTAATGTATTAATGGAAGCAACCTTTATTTTTATCAATTCTTTCTTTGATGGTGTATATTCTGCACGTGGTGTCTTCGGCTGTTTCCCATGATAGAACATGATTCATCTCCTTTTTTCTTGCTTATCAGGTTAAAGTGTTTGAGCCATTTAGTATTCTTGGTTTAGAACCTGGAGCCTCAGATTCAGAAGTAAAGAAGGCATATAGGAGACTTTCAATACAGTATCATCCTGATAAAAATCCAGATCCAGGTTATAGGTTTTATTTGTTGTTTCCATATCTGCTTTTTGCAGCACATTAATTTTTTTTCCTTTCGAAGACCTAATACTTTTCAACCTTTTCCTCCTTCACTTTCATCTCAGAGGCCCATGATTATTTTGTTGAATACATTTCAAAAGCTTATCAAGCCCTGACAGATCCAGTCTCTCGGGAGAATTTTGAAAAGTATGGCCACCCAGATGGCAGGCAGGTAATAAAATTCTTTGTTTCATCTTTCATTCCAGCAGAATATCAGGTTCATAAACGAAAGAGTTTGATTCTGATTTGTTGTCAATTTTCACTGGATTCATAATTTAGGGTCTTCAAATGGGTATAGCCCTACCTCCATTTCTGCTGAATATTGATGGAGCATCGGGTGGAATACTTCTGCTGGGAATAGTTGGAGTATGCATTCTTCTGCCTTTGATGTTGGCTGTTATATATCTCTCAAGATCAGCCAAATATACTGGAAATTATGTGATGCATCAAACATTGTCAGCCTACTACTACTTCATGAAACCTTCTTTAGCTCCAAGGTATATAAATTTCCTCCATGTTGATTTGTTATTTGATGTTTATTGTGAAACACTTATAAAAAATTAACTACTGCTTTGTGTTCTAAATATATAGAGACCTTGAGATGACCTTTTTCGTAATTGCTCAAAATTTTCCTACCGGCCAACAATTCAAATAGGTTAATGACAGGTTCCTTTCCCCTTATTCCTAGTTGCATTGGTGCTTGACATAGTAGAGACTTGAAGCCAGAGTGTCAAATTAAAAGCTATCATAAATTATACTCTTGTTGATCATGTTCAATAAGGCTTGCTCTTGTTTTTGTTTTGGTTTTATCAATAGTAGTGTATATTTGCAGCAAGGTCCTGGATGTCTTTATAAAAGCTGCAGAATTCATGGAAATCCCAGTTCGGCGAAGTGATGGGGAACCCCTTCAGAAATTATTCGTGTTGGTTAGGAGCGAGCTGAACTTGGACCTTAAGAATATTCGTCAAGAACAAGCCAAGTTTTGGAAGCAACACCCAGCTGTTGTAAAGGTGGTTCATGTTCATGCCTTTCTCTATTTCTTTTAGTATCTTACTATTTCAAACACTTTGAAGGGCTAATGGTTCTTGCTGCTTTACATTACTCACCTTTCTACTTTTCAGGCTGAGTTGTTGATACAAGCCCAGTTGACTCGTGAGTCTGCAGCTCTGACTCCAGCCTTGTTTCGTGATTTGAGACACATGCTTGAGGTTTCACCCCGCCTACTTGAGGAACTAATGAAGGTGCAGTTAGATTTCTTAGATCTTCTAGCACATTAATGGATTTTGTGACACACAATTTTTGAAAATCCTCTCTTGCACATGCATCAACATTCGAACATATTGATAAGAATAGCTCTGGATTTTTTTATTGCTCACATTATTCTTGAAAATTTTTGGTATTGTTGGGACATCTAAGGGTTTTGAAGGATTTGTGGAAAAATTGAGTATATAGAAAATTTCACTGTTGAATTATACAAGCACCATAAGTTTATATACAGCTAACTAGAGGGTAAACTAGGAAACTAAATCTTCTTAAATTTGATCCCTATAATTAAGATATTGTCTGTCCTAATTTTCTGTCCTTAATTCTAAGTATACAAATATATATAGATTACAACTAGCTATAACTAAGTGTTTTCCCACACTCCCCCTCAAGTTGGTGAATAGGTGTTTTCCATTCCCAGCTTGGAACTAATTTCTTGAAATGTTGCACTGTTGAGACCTTTAATCAACACATCTGCAAGTTGACCCTTGGTTGATACCATATAGTGTGCAAATCAACCCATTGTTTAGTTTCTCCTTTATGAAGTGCCGGTCTACTTCACTGTGTTTTGTTTTGTCATGTTGCACAAAGGATTGTGTGCGATGCTTATTGCAGACTTGTTATTACAGTAGAGTTTCATCGGTCCATCCTACTTGATCTTCAAGTCTTCTAGGATAATCTTTAACCATAGTAGTTCACAAATTCCTTGAGCCATTGCTCTAAACTCTGCTTCAACACTTGACCTTGTCACCACATTATGTTTTTTACTCCTCCAAGTTACAAGATTACCGCCTAGGAAAATGTAGTAGATTGAGGTAGATCTTTTATTAATTACCAAACCTGCATAATCAACATCTGTATATGCCTCCCGTACTAGCCTCGAATTTCTTTTGAACAAGATACCTCTCCAAGGATTGACTTTCAAATAGTGTAGTATACGGTAGATTGCCTGTAGGTGCACTTCTTTAGGACTATGCATAAATTAATTTATCACACTCGCAACATATGCTATGTCAAGTCTAATATGTGAGAGATAAACGAGCCTTCTAACTAATCTCTAGTATATCTCTCTATCTACAACAGCATCTTCATTAGCTTTTCCAAGTTTATGATTAGGATCTATAAGGGTACTTGCAGGTTTACATGCCACCTTCCTAATTTCCTTCAAAAGATCCATCACATATTTTTGTTGTGAGATGAAAATACCATGTGATGAATGAGCTACTTCAATTCCTAGGACGTATTTCAATCTCCTTAGCTCTTTTATCTCAAATTCTCTGGCCAAACACTGTTTTAGAGATTCTTTCTCTTTTTCATCATCTCCTGTTCCAATTATATCGTCAGCATATACTAACAGAATTGTGACTTTCCTTGAATCCGAGTGCTTGATAAACAGTGTGTGATCCCCTTGACTCTACTTATATCCCATTGCTAACATCACTTTGGCAAATCTCCCAAACCAGGCCCTAGGAAACTGTTTAAGGCCATATAAAGCCTTTTCAGCTTGCATACTTTGTTTACTTCTAGATAACCTCCAAATCCTAGTGGAATCTTCATATATATTTCTTCTTCCAAATCACCATGTAGAAAAGCATTCTTTACATCCAATTGTTGAAGCTGCCAATTGTAATTTGCAGCCAGGGATAACAAAATCCTAATTTTATTCATCTTGGCAATTGGAGCAAAAGTTTCTTGATAATCCTCTTTATAATTTTGAGTGTAGCCCTTAGCCACCAACCTAGCCTTATACCTTTCAATAGTACCATCCGCCTTATATTTTACAATGAAAACCTATTTACACCCAATTGGATTTTTCCTTTAGACAACTTTACCAGTTCCCATGTCTTACTTTTCTCTAAGACCTCCATTTCTATTTTCATGGCCTGTCTTCTTTTATTATTTGATAATGCCTCAGATAATGTAGTTGGAATAGAAATAGTGTTTAGGCTCACAAGGAAACTTTTGTAGGATGGTGAGAATTTTTCAAATGACACAAAATTAGAGATTGAGTATAGTGGATGCTTAGTACATTTTCTGGTTCTTTTCCTGATGCAATAAGTAGATCATAGTCACTAGTTTTAGTTTTAGGAGATTCGTGCTCATTTTGAGAAATAGAGTCAGAGATTGCAATTACCTCATTTCCAGAGTTAGGATTAGATTCTTAGACTTTCACCGGTTCGGGAATTGGAACTTTCCTTTTTAAGTACACCTGTAATTCCTTTATGGAATCAAGAACAGTATTATCCTTAGTCACAGCTTCTATATTTGGAATGGGTTCAGACTTAAATTCAGTGTTTGAGTTGAACTAAAAAAAAAACAGGTTTATACTTAGAAGAATTAATGGGTGAAAATGTCGAGGAGGAAGATAAGTCAAACAAAAAAAAGTCTTTATCGTTATCTTCCATGAATGCAGTCTCCCCCTGAAGATAAGGTTGAGTAAAAAATGGTTTACTTTTTTCAAAAGTGACATCAACAAACACAGAATTTTTTTGTAGCATGATGATAGTACTTTTACCTTTTTTGAGTTAATGAATACCCCACAAAAATACACTTAGCTGCTCTTGGATCCAATTTCCCCGTATTATGACTATGAACATGAACAAATGATGTACAACCAAATATCCTAGGTGTAAGGTTGTTTGTGGTATTAAAGTTAAGATAGAATTGTGAGAAGACTTCCATAGGAGTTTTAAATCCCAAAACCCTTGAAGGTAACCTATTTATAATGTGTGTGGCAGTGACAACAGCTTCTCCCTTGTAGAATTTGGGTATGTTTGCTTGAAAAAGTACAGCTCGGGTTGTGGCTAGTAAATGGTTGTTTTTCCTCTCTGCCATTCCATTATGTTGTGGAGTATTAACACAAGATGACTCATGGATAATCCTCTTTTTTTGAAAATAGGTAGATAGACTTTGGTTGAAATAGTCTTTAGCGTTGTCAGACCTAAATTTCTTGATTTTCACTCCAAATTGATTTTGGATCATGTTTTGAAAGCTTAAAAATACCCTATTCACATCTGATTTGGATTTAAGTAAAAAAATCCAAGAAACCATGGTACAATCATCTATGAATGAAACAAACCACCTTGCACCATAAATATTAAGAATTGTAGAGGGATCCCATATGTCACTTTGAATCAAGTAAAAAGGAGTGGGACTTATTTTCTTGCTAATTGGAAAAGACACACGTCTATACTTTGCAAGTTCACAAACATTACAATGAAAATTTTTGACATTTAATCCTTTGAACAAAGAAGGAAACATGTTTTTCAAAGTTCTAAAAAAACGATGTCCAAGACGAAAATGATAAAGCCAGATTTTGTCTTTATTATGAGATTTTTAAAAAAGAAATGATAAAGGTAAACTGTTCTTAATATTGCTTATGTTGTTTGATGTCTCAAGATAGTATAGTCCATCTTTCTCTTTAGTGAGTCCAATCCTCTTTTCTGAACTTTGGTCTTGAAATTCACAATAGGAGGGATAAAAAGTCACTTTGCAGTTCATATCTCTAGTAAGTTTTTGTATAAATATCAGATTAGTAAACAATCCAGGAACATGAAGAACATTTTTAAGAACAAATGAGGGATTAATTTGAACATCTCCTAATCCTGTAGTAAGTGAGCCATCTGCAACAACAATTTTCTTATTACTAGGATACGATATATGTACTAAACTTCTGTGAGAAATGTGTCATGTGGTCTGTGGCTCTTGAGTCAATGACCTAAGAACTCATAATAGACTTAACCAAGATATTTAATCCATGAGAATCAGAAACTTTACCTGAACTAGAGATCTTACCAAAAGAACATACCTCAGTAGGCTTTTCAAGGGTTTTCAATAGGATTCTCAGTTTCTCAATATCTTCTTTGTGCAACTCTCTTTCTTTCCAAGACTTCTGTAGTATTCTAGTGGTTTTACCAATTGTCACTTCCTCAAATTGGACAAATTCTGCTATCTCTGGCATGGTTATCTTTCCTAGTACTGAAACGAGTCTTGATAATAAAGGTTTAACCAGAGACAATTGCCTTTCTAGGCAATGAAGGCCAAAGAAGGAAAAAAAATAAAATTATGAAAGACTTAACAGGATTTGGCTATGAAGGCCTGAAATAGAATTTAGCAATGAAGGCTGAAAAAAATTTTTCTTCCCAAGAAGAGCCTAAAGCTCTGATATCATGTGGAAAAACTAAGAATATAGAAAACTTCTTGTTGAAATTCCTAGACTGCAAAGCCATATTGCTTTGTAGCAGGCACTGATGTGTGAGTATGTTTACTAGTTATTCTGCTATCTTATTCTACTTTTCTGAACAAACGAAGCTTACAACCCAAAATATTCTGCATTCTTTGGAAGTTGTATCAGTCAGTATGTTATATATGAATACAGATGGCATTAGTACCACGCACTGCTCAAGGGCATGGATGGTTGAGACCTGCGATTGGTGTGATTGAGCTTTCACAGAATATCATTCAGGTATGTCTGTACACTCCTTGGAAAATTTGGTGCATTCTTTGTGAATGATTTTATGGTGCCACTTTCAGTGCCAATATTATGTTTAGTTACCTCCATCTATATAGTCATTTGCAACCTATCAAAGGGAAAAATGTTAATTAGAAGGCATGACTATGCAGCATATTGTTTGCTTTTACATGTTCTAAGCATTCAGGTGAGCATAAAATTTTTTCTTCTGAAAGGATTAGTTTCCTAAACTGACCTAAAATAGGCTTTGCTAATTAGAATTAGCCTACTAGAGATTGAAGTGGAATATTACTTTTTGGTCTAGTATTACTATCATATCAGTTGTCAATATGTATGTGTGACACTTTTGACAATCCTTTCATTTTTCTATTCCTATTGTATTCGACCAAAAATGTCAAAGTTTTCTTACCTTTCCTTTGACAATTTTTCAAAGGAAATCCCATTTGTAAACTCTCTTCTAATATTTCTATAGCTTGGGCTGTCACTGCCATTTGTTTAAATACTGTTATATCTAGTCATTCTCTTTTATTTTTATTAGAAGAGAGTTAATTTTCCAATACTGTAATATCTCTCAACAAAATGATTAATTTTTTTGTATTTTGATGATTTATTTATTCATTGGACCAGGCAGTTCCGCTAAGTGCTAGAAAGATTGCTGGGGGATCTAGTGAAGGTGTTGCACCCTTTCTACAGCTGCCGCATTTTAATGAAGCCATAGTAAAAAAGATAGCACGGAAGGTAGTGATATGCTTATTTTATTGGTTTTTGTACTGACTAAAAGAGTCCTGATGCATCTGCAGTAATTCTATGTTACCACATATATCTAGGCTCCATTTTAGGTTATACTGCTTTGGTGCTTGGTTAATATAATATGTCTCAAGACACACTCTATGTCAACCATTTGATCATGTTTTTGGATAAAGTTATTTGTGGATGAGAAAGAAAAACCCTGGTTCATTATCTAAGCCTGGGAGACTTTGGAATGAAAATTTCACATTCATGGTAATGGTTCAATTGTCTGAGAAACGGGGTGAAAATGTTGTATTGTTACTTGTACAGATTGGCAAATTCTCTATAAAACAAGATGTTGCCTTGATGTTGTGACGTAACATGCATAAATCATGGGGGACGTGGCATTGTTGAACATTTTGCATCCGTTTCCTAATGCTATTTGGTTTGAAAATTCTCTTTCGTTTTGTTTGCAGAAAGTGCGAATGTTTCAAGATCTTCGTGACATGACCTTGGAAGACCGATTTGAACTGCTGACTCAGGTTGCAGGGTTATCTACTGCTGAAACCAAAGATGTGGAGATGGTTCTAGAAATGATGCCTTCTTTGACAATTGATATCACTTGTGAGACAGAAGGTGAAGAGGGGATACAAGAGGGTGATATTGTCACGATCCATGCTTGGATCACACTCAAGCGTGGGAGTGGCCTTGTTGCTGCTCTTGCTCATGCTCCGTACTTCCCCTTCCACAAGGAGGAGAATTTTTGGTTACTGCTCGCTGACTCTGTCTCCAATGATGTTTGGATCTCCCAAAAGGTGAGCTTCATGGATGAGAATGTGGCCATAGCAGCGGCGTCTAAAGCAATTCAAGAGTTGAAGGAAGGGTCAGGGGCAAGCCTGAAGGAGACAAATGCAGCTGTTAGAGAAGCTATTGGGAGAGTAAAGAGTGGGTCAAGGTTAGTAATGGGCAAGTTCCAAGCTCCCGCTGAGGCAAATTACAACTTGAATGCATTCTGCTTGTGTGACTCTTGGATTGGTTGTGATAAGAAGACAAACTTGAAGATCAGAATATTGAAACGGAGTCGAGCAGGTACAAGGACAGCTCCTTTGTCAGAAGAGGGAGCTGCTATGGAAGAGGGGATTGAAGAGGAAAAGGAGGAAGAAGAAGATGAATATGATGATTATGAGAGTGAATACAGCGAAGATGAGGATGAAAAAGATTCAAAGAGGAATAGAGCTGTGGCCAATGGTGCTGTCGATCATAATGGAAATGGATCAAGCTCTGAAATTACTGACAATGAGTGAAAAAAACTTTTTATTTTTCATTTTTCCTTTGTGGGAACGGAGGGAGAAGGGATGGGTCATATTAATTTCTTTTATTTTGCAACATTTAATTATACAATATACAAATCCACACCTTGATATGAACTTAAATGCCATTTTGCTTGCTTCGTAGAATCCTTTTATATTCTAGAAACTTGAAATTAAGAAAAATTATTGGTGTCAACTATCTTCATTGAAAGAAGCACAATTGCAGCCACTGGATTACTCTCCAGTGCTTGAAGTTTCCCATAGTGACCACTAACAAGAATTGTTGTCAGGATGAACAGGCGTTTCATCCAAACAAAAAATTCATTTTATATCAAGGTAATTCTTTAAGATATTGACGTCTCTTTTACAGCAGCACAATGGCAGGCGCCTTTATGGAAAACCAGGAGAAAAGAATGAATATAAATACACAAGATGAAAATGACAAAAGAAAAGGTTTAAGGCTTTCGTTCATCTTAAAATAACTCGACTACTTGCATGTTGGTTTTCTAAGTTATCTTCTTTGGAAATTGAGGAACCTGATACCATAAGCAAATACAAAGAAAAAGAGGAGACACCAGCCGATATGAGCCGCCGCAACTGCCGGAAGAAAACTATATTCAAAACCAAAGTATTGTTTAAGGAAGCTTTTTACTGTCACATTAGGCTCGCCGGGGACCTCAATAGGAGCATCAATGTTACCCACTTGAGACGTCACAAGGCCATACAGTGTCCAAGCCACAGGAGAAGCCCAATAATACCATCTCCACCATATAGGGATTTGCTACAATGAATGAATAAATCAAACTTTTAGAGGATTATTCAAATAACAAGCTAACTGGAAAAGGACAGTTAATGACAGTTTGAGATGGCTCACCGTCCTCGTAATGAGAAAACCAGAGAACAAATTCCAAAAACTAAGAAAGAAGGACATGACAATGGCAGCAATTTGATGGCCCGGTGTTAGAGCAACAATCATCATCCCGTACAAAGTGAAGTAGACAAAGCATGTTAATATGTAGTAATAGAACCATAAGCAATTTGCGGCCTTCCACTCAAATCCAATCATCGAGTAAAGAATTAAAGAGTAAATGAGCGTTTGAATTGCAGTATAGATTGTCTCTATAGCCACCTGAAGTAAAAAGATTTTTTTTTTAAGTCAAGCATTTGATTTTGTAAGTATGAGAACAATTAAGCTCCTCTAGAACAGAAAAAACCAATCAAGTTTACCTGAGCAAATGCATAAGGCAATTCAGAATACATCCCGGCTGCTCTTTCACGGTAGAAGACTGTTCTCTCTATTGCAACAACAGATTGCACAGCGGAAGCATTGGTTGCTCCAAGGAAAAGCACGGCAGAATACATTGCTCCAACAAGATTCATCAGATCTTGCTGTCTTGCTCTGGTTATCAAAATATTTTTGGTTAATGCCAAATTTTCAGTCACTAGTAAAAAAGTAGAGGTGTAGAAAATATATTGTTCATAACCAAAACAAAGAAAATTCAGGACTTACGTTTGTTTTCCTTTGTTCCAGAAGATAAGACCGAATAAGGCACCGATAATTATTGTCAATAAGAACCTGATGGCATTGTACTGGGGGTTCCTCCAGTAAGACCAGTGCTGTTTCCAGAAGCAGGCCTTGCACTGCGTAAGGAATGGTTGGGAATATTGGGTTGGGAAGAATAGATCCTTGGAACCTGGAGCTGGGGTACTGAGCTCTTTGATTAGTTGCTGATTTCTCCTGAAAGTTTGTAAAAATAGAAATTGAGCACAAATATCTGCAAGGTCAAGGAAAAAAATTTTACTGCCTAAAGTCTAAGCTATGGCATTACAGTTAAACTTACCGGTAAAGTGAAGAGTTAGCATAAATATCTGCAAAATCCACATCCAATTGAGCCTCAATTGGAGGAGCACTGACCTCAAGCATCCATGTTGCCGGATTGTATCCTTCCCTGTTCTTTGGAACCCCTTGGACAGCCTGTAGCAGAAAATGCATTTTAGTTCTTGCTTAATTGTATTTGCTTAGGAAGAAATACATTGTACATGTGATGAGATAGTGTATGCAGCAGACACTAGTGCACTAAAAATAGAAACTCTCACCTCAAAATATTCTATGAGCTTGTGAGAGTGGCGACCAAGAGGTCCAGCATAAATGACTTGCCCTCCTCTTTTCATCAACAGTAACTGCAACAAATCACAATACCAAGTTGAATGCAGGTAATAAAAATGAAAACAAAAGTGTCAAAATTCCCAAAAAAGAATCTAGCTGATTGAGTTTTACCTCATCAAAAGCTTCAAAGATGTCAATGCTAGGCTGGTGAATTGTGCACACAACAGTTCTCCCTGTGTCCACAGTGTTTCTCACAGTACGCATAACAATTGCAGCAGCTCTGGCATCAAGTCCAGAAGTTGGCTCATCCATAAAGATGATAGAAGGATTAGCAACCAATTCTACTGCTATTGTCAACCTCTTCCGTTGTTCTGTTGAAAGACCATCAACTCCTGGAAGTCCAACTAAAGCATCCCTTATTGGTTTTAGCTCAACTAACTCCATAACTTCGTCAACAAACATCTATACAAAGAAAAAAATTGAATATGTAGGTTACAATAGGAGCTTTGCTGATAAGAAGAGAAGAAAATTTGTTTTCAGCAACCTTTCTGGTCTTGGTGTCTATGTCAGAAGCAAGACGGAGCCAAGCTGAGTACAGGAGAGATTCGTAAACAGTGACATTTGGGGAGTGGATGTCATTCTGTTCACAGTAACCACTCACACGAGCAAATGTTGCTTGGTTCTTCGTGTAACCAGAGATGCTGATATTTCCCTCAATGTATCCACCTGTTTTCCTTCCTGCTAAAACATCCATCAGGGTTGTCTTCCCAGCACCGCTGACACCCACTAATGCTGTCAATATCCCTGGTCTGAAAGCACCACTAACATCTTGTAGCAGCTGAAGACGATCTTCTTCAATTCCTTGAGTTTTCATTTCCTGGTAAAGAAACCAAGATTTCACCTCAATGTTTCCTCATTAAACTCTAAAACTGTCTTCGACAACATGTCAGTTACCAAACGGAAATTGAAATGTTTAAGATTAAAAGTAACTTACCGCAGGCATATCCACATAGTAGTTAATATGGTTGAAAGCAAGTGAAAGAGGTTGGAAAGGCAAAACCATTCCTTTTCTAGGTCTGCGTCTTGCAGCATCCACGATATCTGAAGAGTTTCTTACTTGCATATCGATACCTGTAATCATTCAGAAAACTTAAGCACTCACAAAAGATGGCATAAGGTGAATGAATACAAGTTTTGATGACAAATTTACATTAACCCTTTGAACTCAAAGCTTAAAAAATGTTCACTTACCTTCTGGTCTTTTTCCGCCTGAGTATGGATTTTTAGTCTTCTTGTTTTCATCTTCATTGGCAACTACTGCTTTGGAATCACCCAGAGCTGAAAATTAATCAATCCACGTATAAGTGACAAGTCAATACTGAAAATCTATTCAAATACAAACAATTGTTAGTCAAATGAGAGAATGTCACTAACGATTCAGGAAAGTCAATGCTCCAGTGAATAAAATGTTGAAGAGAATGGAGAAGCCAAAGAGTGCTCCAACACAAATCCAATACCAATATTCTTCTGTATAGAAGCCTCTGGTCTTGAGAAGACCTATCCCCACCGTTGGTGCATCAACTCTGCGGTCTGGGTTGATCTGCATTGGATAATTCCGTGTAAGATATTGATTATGGCTTATGGCAAACGAAATCATCTATGCCTAACCAAAGTTTATATAACTATAAGCATAAAAAATAAAAAACAAGAAGACTTGGAAGATCTTACAGCACTCCATCTTTTATCGAGGAATTCATTTATGACTATGGCATTCTGTCCATACATCATAGGAGAAACATAGTAGCCCCAGATCATCCATGGCTTGATGTCATCTGCAGGTAACAAATGTGTTAGAATACTTGAACTGAAACAAAAGATCAAGGATAAAAAAGAAGATTAATATCAGACATTAGGGATAAAAACTTGCTTAGTGCTTTAACTATAAACATCTTTTAGCTATAAAGAGAAGTCAGCTACTTACTTTTGGCAATGATAAAACCTCCAAGTACAAAAATCAATAGCAAGGTGAAGGTACCCATTGTGCTTGCAACAACCTGTGTTCTCCCCACTGCAGCAATGAACCTAAAGAGGGACAACGCCATCTGATGGATGCCAAAGAATGCCAAGAATTGTCGGAAGAACCTGGAGATTAAAAGAAAAGGTGTCTTGTCAAAGAAACTACTAAAACTATAATGTCATTCACTTAAAGTTAACGATAACATAACATGATGATCAATAGAAAAATGAAATTTATTGTTGCTTACCTGGTAGCAGATGGAGCAAAGCCAATTGTGTAGTATGTCAGGGCAATCCATATCCCTGATTCCATAAATGATAGTGGGATCCTAAGGACCCAAATCGGTAGGCTAAAAGCCCATGCAGGATAAAACAAGAAGTCTCTTTGTTTATAGAAGACAGGAAGCCTGAAAACAGTCATTGCAAGTTCCGCCATTCCATTGAACATCACATTGACCAAACTGAAAAATAGGGCTCCAAAAAATTTTCCACCGTCTCCGAAATTGCCCACAGGCATTTCTGTTCTCAGGAAGACAGTCAAGGCTATCAGCGACATGATTGTTATCTGGACAGTCTTGAATATGTATACAAAAGCACTTCGCTTCATTAGCAACCATTCCCTTGCAAAGCATGCCCTGAACAGCTCCCAATTGGAAATACCGTATTTTTCTTTAACTAAGGCAGCAGGGTGGGTTAGGGACTTATCGTAGGGAACCCTAAGGTCTGATGCAAGCTGCTGGCCAATGTGGAAGGAACCGAAGCCGTGGACAAAATCAGAAACTGAAACATATCTGTAAGGTTGGTTCTTTTTGGACCAGTATTGTTGTTGATCCTTCTTGGAAGTGACTTCTTGCAGAAAGTCAGCAACTCCTTTTCTTTCAGGGCATTTAAATCCCATATATTCAAAGAAATCCAGGACATTCTCACGTGGACCCTGGTAGACAATTTCACCGTCTGAAAGGATGATAATGTCATCGAAAAGATCATATGTCTCTGGTGCTGGCTGTAGAAGAGAAATGACCATGGTTACATCCATGATATGAACCATTTGTCTCATGAACTTGCAAATCTGGTAAGTAGTAGAACTGTCCAATCCTGTTGATATTTCATCCATAAAAAAAGCCTTTGCTGGTCCAACCAACATTTCTCCTGCAATCAAGTCAAATAGAAACTACTATTAGACTAGCAATGCCTAAGTAAGCATAACTGCTTATAGAAGAACTGAAGGGTTAAAAAAAAATCATGAAGATAGGAAAATAAGGTTACTAATATGGCTGATTTTATTAAAATATTTGAAATCTAAGCTTTAGATAAAGGAAAAAGAAAAGAAAAGAATGCTAAAGAACCATTTACATGAAAACACAACTGCCTGTGAAGAGTACTTAGGATTTTTTTCTTTTTTTTGTTACAAAAAGTTTAGAGTGAGGGTAACTGGGTAAGCTTCCTATTTCAGGGTCAGGGCAGAGTGCAGGCCTCAAAGAGGTTGAATTTATAGATCGCCCATCAATGGAGACTGCTGGCAGTGGGACTCGAATTTGAACCTTACAAGTCAAATATTCGAATCTTACCAACTCAACCAACCCTTGACAAAGTATTTATGAGTTTAGCACACAAACATAAGGTAATGAACAACTTCACCAATGAGCATGTCTTGGAATCTCAACGTATACTAGAAAGGGACTTGAACTAAAACAAAAGAACTATGAAACACACGAATTCTTCCTATGTTAGGCAAAAGTTGGTATGCTTAAACTTGTTCCAGAAAACATACCTGTTGTCACACGCTTCTTTTGCCCACCGGAAATACCCCTACGCATGTCATCTCCGACCATGATATCCGCACAAATATCCAATCCAAGTAGCTGTTAGAAACTTTTACAAATGTCAGTTCCCTTGTAATTAAAGAGATGCTCCAAACCAATAACTCGAAAGAAAAGAATACTGACCTTAAGAATATAATCTGTCACCAAGCTTGTTTCTTGGCCTGCCACTGCTGTGGCTTTCATAAATGCATCGATCTCAGGATCTGGCTTAATCCCAGCTTCTTTCTCTCTCCTTGAGAGCTCTGAAAGCATTTCGTATCTTGTACCGACACCCAAACAACGTCCCGAAAAATCTAATGTTTCCCTCACCGTCATTTCGCCATGGTGAAGATCATGTTGTCCGATATAAGCACATGTCCTTTGAGGAATAAACTCGTTCAATTCGTGACCGCAGTAAGTGACTTTTCCAGATGACTGTTCAGAAAAAAGCCAATTTATTAGGAGATTGTTTGAAACAAGCAAAATTTTTTACCATCTAAATTCATAACAGAAAGCAAATTTCATTTAATAGTTTATAGCCAGTCTTGGTTACCTTTTTCGGGGAAATCTAGTTTAAAGGAGTAGGAAACTCACCCTGAGATCATGTTCAAGCTTTCCGGCAAGTGCCATTAACAAAGTTGTTTTTCCAGCTCCTGGAGGACCGAGAAGTAGTGTCATCCTGAAATTTTTCATTCAAATATTAATGGATGCAAAGTTATTACAAAAACCAAAATAAAACTATTCATTTCATCAAATGAAACAGTTTGCTTCATCGACAGGAACAAAAGAACACTTTCTGTACAGGAAACTGTCAATTCAAACAAAACTTCATCACAAAAAGATAGCTTGGGGATAGGCAATTAGACAGTAAGATTTGGCTTCTACGTTAGTAATTTTCAGATCCAAAATGAAAACAAAAAAGGAAAAAAAAAGCGAAATTTTCAAGGAATTACCTTGAAGGTTTGACTATGCCGCTGACATCTTTAAGTATCTGAATCTTTCTCTTCTTAGATGGTGCAAGCCAAACCAATCCCAGTATACTCTGTTGTTTATGAAAAATTGAAACACAGAAATAGAATTACTTAAAAAAATGAATTAATTAAAAAAATTTAGTTGTGAAAGTTCAAAAATGAAAATAATACCTCTATTGTGTTCAAGGTAACATTAAGCAGAGTAGGAAGAGCTCTGCTTCCAACATACATATCTCCTTCAACTTTCAAATGCTTAAACCGAACTTCAATCTGTGGAATCTCAATCCCCACTCTACACAAATCGAAACCCCATAAATCAAGTCAAATCCAATCTAATCGAAAAAACTAAAACCAAAAACCAAAGAAAACGATTTTTTTTTTAGCTTACCTGTCAGTTCTGTTCCTTAATCTCCTCAAAAACTTTTCATTATCTTCTTCTACGACTTTCAACATACTATCCATCAACTGCTTCTTGTCTTGCATCCCAAGCCTAGTAACGTCAACTTCATCATGAACAATTCTCCCATTATCAAGAACTTGCCTCAGCATCCCTTTTCTCAACCTATCATACGTGGGTAACCTCTCGATAGCAGCCCAACGTAGCTCTTCCTCATCATCTTGACGTCCAGTGCTCCTGTTAAAGACTTCGGATGGAGGTCGCCAAACCTCCCTGAAGCTCGCCGAAGCCCAGCTTCTATGGCTGGTCGATGCCGCCCAGCTCCTCCTGCTGCTGCTCATCGACCTTGCTAGATCATCTCCAGCCAAAGCTGACGCCATGATATATTATAAGTACGTTATTCTTGATTCAGACTACTATTTATAAACCAAAAAAACAAAAAAAATCCTTCTCAGATAATCGGAATTATGATTATCTATATCATGAATTTCTTCTTTGTTTGAACCAAAATAAAAGTGTGGGAAAAAAAGAAAGAAATGGAGGGGTACTTAAAAGGCAGTGGGAAAATGAGAGAAAGAATGAATAAAAAGATTGAGTCAAATCTGTTAAGATTTGAATAACACTATAACTAGGAAACTTCAATGGTGATGCAGCTGGATCCCATATATATATTTTTTCAGTAATAATTTTTATTGAATCTTTGTTTTTGCTTACGAACTACTGCATGGCTGAAGAAACTAATAATTCATGTGACTGGCTGGATTTTGTTGCTCATACTGGTTCGCGTGGTACAAGATTATTGCCCCGTGTTCTAGAAAGTTATATATTTGCAAATTTAGGTAAATCTAGAAGGTCAAAACCTGATGAACATTAATAAATTATAATAAAAAAACGTTTTTTAATAAGTTTTTTTGGCTAATTTATTTTATATTTGCGTTTCTTAAAATTTAAATTTTGCCTACTCAAATTAAGAGTTAGTATTCTAACAATAGATACGATTGAAAAAAAAGCAAATTTGTTTCAAACATATATAATTGTTATATTATAATTAATCAATCATAATTTTAAATTATAAGAATTTATCAAAATTTTATAATAATCCACATTTATAAATAATAAATTTTTATTTAATTTTTTATTATGATTAAATAATTAAAATTTTATAAGTGAAATACTTTCTTTCTTTCATATTTGTTGAAGATTTAATCTAAATACCATAATTACATTTTTATGTCATGAAGATGATAGTGGGATTCTTGGCAAAAATGTGAGTGAAAGTGGAGCCAGGAAAAAGAAACTGATAAGGATTAAACAGCAGACAACACTCAAGATTTTTCTTTTAATTACCTTTTAAGAAATTATTTTGGAAAATATTTCAAGTGAATTTTCCACTCTGTTTCTTTAAATTTTAACCATATATGAAAGGAATGTCTGCCATTGGTAGAAAGGCTAGTTAGCAGTTGCCTACAATATTTTTTCGCCTATGAAAGGGTAGCTGGGACAAAGATTGCTTCAAATTTAGGAAATGTTTATTGATAATGGTTAATGGTTTTTAATTTCTTAATAAAATAGGGTCTCTTAATGCACTGTTTTAACTAAATTCAAAAGCAAATATGCATTAACTATATATTTTTTTTAAAATATTACATTAACTATATATTTTTGTATTTATTTTTTTAAATAATGCATTAATAATTATTTTTAAAAAATAACATACAACACGCTTGAGATTCGGATCATTCCATCATCTATAATCTCTTCTCCGATATCTAGGTATCATTAATAAAAAATAACTTTGGTAGACAAAATCAAAATGTTGATGTATATTCAGATTAATTTGAAGCAGGCAATCCCAGAATGAGACTTTAGACTTTGATGGCTATCAATAATTAAGTGTATTTACAGTGGAAAACTGAAGCAAATAGATAAAAATAAAATAAAATGTAAATGCAGGCCAGTCATAGGCATGCAGTAGGAATCAAGTTTTATATTGCTGAACCCTTCATTTTCATAGCCCTTTTATTTTCTTAATTGCTGATTCAATTTGATCATGCATAGCCAAGTCAATGTTCAAGATAAACAAGCTACTGTCCATTCAGAAAAAATAAATTTTCTTTTATCAATTTGTTTGGACTGTTAATTGTTTATAATAATTTGATTAATTCTAAATAGCTGGCTTAATTTTCATTTTTTTTAATGCAGTCAGAAATATTTTTTTATTTTCTTTGAATTTAATATCATTCATCTATGGTTTCTTGCTCTCATTGATCTTTGATTATTTCCTCACAACTCTTTCTCCATCTACTACTTCAATGCAGGCTTACTGATTGATTGCTTTGCTTCTTACTCGGGAAAGGTTTTTTAGTTTACTTTTTTTTCTTGCAAAAACAAGACTTTTGGTAACATTTTTGTTTCATTTTCTTTTTTTTAGATTATTTTTTAAATGATAAATCAATTAAAAAACATGGCAATTTTTTTAATGATAAGAGATTTTTAGGTTTTGTTCAGTACATTTTTAATTTGTTTGGGTCAATTTAAATAAATCTATTTATGTTAACTCTAGCAAATTTACGAAAAATTACATTTCCAATGAATTTAAACTTAATCAACCACAAAAAAAAATGACCAGATTCTCTTTATCACTAGAACTAACATTAGTTGTTGGTAAAATATGTAGCCTTTTTAATATCAACATATATATTTTCTCTAATGAAGCTTTAGCCATCTTCACCAAGGTCCAAACATGTATAAAATTCTCCTCTCTATGGTCTCTTTGGCCCTTCTATTTACTTATTTGCTTTTCTAAACATATCTTCCGTCTTTTTTCTGGTATTAAACAAAGAATTTATATTTAATGCATTATCGATATATAAATTTTATATACTATTAGTAATTATATAATATCATCTCATTAATAAAATAAATAACATGATATTATCTCGTTAATAAGTAATTTTTTAAAATATTAATTTTTATATATTTATTTATTTATGAGATAATATCATTTGATTTATTGATAGTATATAAAATTTATATATTGATAATATATCAAATATAAATTTTTAAACAAATAGCTCATAGCTCTAAGATAACGAAGAATAGCTAGCTCCAAAAAATAATTATTTGTTTGCCCTTTTTTTTTTTTCATAGATGCATCTATGCGGGGCTATAATTTCAATGTCGTCTAGAGAAGAAAATGGAGGCGTCTCCTCTCCTTTCTTCTATCATATGGATATATATAGCCAGCTTTAAGCTAAAGTCAAGTGGCCAAACAGGGCAATGCCCATTTCCCTCTTTGGGATCCCACTGAATCATCAAACTTTCATCACCAGATTTAAATAATTAATTTTTGATGTTTCCTAAAGCTACTTAAGTGAGCCGCAGTTGTGTTTTGTTTTTAGTATTAAATGTTTATGTTTCTATCTTTGTCTGTATACCTTGAGCTTCCGAAAAGGATATAGGCCTGGATCCTTAAAAAATGATATTCAACAAATTTAAAGTTTAAATCATAATTTTTGTAATTTATTTTTTATCTCATTGTCAACTTTCATTGTAAAAATAAAACAAAATCTTAGGAGATGGATTTGAGTTGAGTCGTTAACAATCAATTTAGTCAGAGTTTACCCAAGACAGTACTGATTCATGATCAGCTGACAGAATCAACAGCAACAGCTTACATGGTCAAAGTCAGGACAAGATTGAGAAATGGAAAAGGTTTTCAGTCAGAACAAGATAGGGAAATGGAAAGGGTTTAACAAAGTCATACAAATCCGTTTTCTTTGTCTATTAGAAAAGGTCTAACACTAACTAGTAAGTCTTTCCGGGAAAAAGATGTGCACCTGCCAAAAGCCGAAAATATCTCTTCATATATATAGCTGCCATATGCAAGCACATTTAACAAAATCCTACGTATATTCTAAATTATTATTAAATAAAATATCAGGGGTCTCTCTGCAATTTTTTTATCAGTGGATTCATAGTTATAAACAAATATATAAAATCTTTTAAGAGTGGATTCATAGTTTCATATGCTTATACATAGTGCTCCTTTGTTGGCAGCGAGCACTGAAAGATGACTTCAAGAACTGCGAGTGGGAAATTCTGGGTGCTTTAATCTGTCAACTTTTCCATAACATAACTATTAATTATAAATTAGGTGTATCTTTTTATTGGTAGTTAGGTGATTGCTTTATAATTACAAATGTGATTATCATAGTGATTAATTGATTATTACGTAAAATTTTTAAATATTTAATTTAAAATCAATTGATAATAAATAAATAAATTTAATTTGAATTATTAAATTCATTGGCTTTGCTCCAAAATTAAAAAGGGGGGGGGGAGCGAATTGGTGTATAAAATTAGTTACCAAAAACAGGCTTAATTTTTTTTTTTTTTCATGAATTATTTTTATTTCATATTTTGTCGTGTCCAAGTGATTCCAAATATTAGTAGCATGTTTATTGGTCAAATTAATCAATGGCTTAACATAATTTGATAGTGTTAAATATTAATTAAGATACGTAACACTTACTGAAATGGTCTCCGATCTAATTGTTTAAAGCCAACCATTTGGACTTCCTTTTTATTTTTCAAATATATTGCCCATTTTACCCTTTAATCTGCAAGCACAAATTCCAGTCAAGTTCATGGGCGCATCAAAAGTTGAGTGTACACAAATACAAAGAAATAAAAACTATAGATGCGTAGACTAGACCTTAAAAATATCGATCGATCTTAAATTTAAGTTAAATTCAATTAATTTATATAATTATTTTTAAAAAATAATATTTAATAAATTTAAAATTACTTTAGGTTTATTAGATATCATTCTTTGAAAATAATTATATAAAATAATTGAATTAAATCATAAATTTTTAATTATTTTCATTATAGAAGATTATCTACAAAAGAGTTTATTGTATAATATTATAATATACCCCTAGCCCTAAGTAAGAAAGATTCTTATCTTAAAACATTTTTGAATTTTCTTTTTGTCAAGTTATAGAACCGGTACAATACAAAATTGAGGAGAATTAGTAAAATTTTTGGGCCATCCAGTCGGTCATTAAAAGAAAACTAGGTTAGATTCACCCAAGAAAATTTGAATTGAAAGTGTTCTACATGAATTATTATACAGAAAAAAAAAAATTTCCCATTCTAAAATAAATTTACTTTATTTCTTTGAGTTTTATCAACGTATTTCATTTTTTAAAAAAATCTTCATGGTTTATTACCAACAACCTGATCAACAAAAAAAAAAAAAAAACAAAAGAAAATGAGGCAAGACAGAAATCTCAAGCAAAGATTTTTTTTTTTTTTTTTTATAAAAAGGCAAACGCCGGTACAAGAGAGAAGAGGGGATGACGGAGTTAAAACCCACGCCTACACGTCTTTCTTAAAACTTCTTAGCCACTAGGCCAACAGATGAAAGACTCAGGCGAATATATTAATATATATTAATGATGCCCGTATTGGCCTTTGCTTGAGTACCATGCAATATCTATGATGAAACAAAACACTGCAGGCCCTCAATAAACAATAACTCAACCATCAATTTCTGAGATTTCTGAGAAGGAGAGAACATGTATAACTTTATATGGTAACCAGTTGCTGAAAGAAAGGATTTTGGTGTCTGATATGATAAAATCTGGTAACAGCTTTACCAAATATTCTCAATCAAATTTACATTACGAGCTTAGATATGTAATTACAACAAGAGGAGGAGATCCTTTAATTGTGAAAACTTTCTCCTTCAAGTACTTGTTTTCATCAAAATAACTCAAATTCAAGGTGCTCTCGAGTAGCTTCACATTCCAAATAATTGCTCTTTGTGTCCGGGGACATCACGCTTGGAACGCCAAATTCATAGAATTCCGGTGGAACAACACATCGTATCAAAGCCCAATTCAAGCCTTCAAAGAAAGGATGTTGCTTGATCTCGGCTGCCCCTTTTTCCGTTCCCAGCCTATTCTCTGGCTCCTTTACCAAAAGCCCTCTGATGAGTTCCCTTGCCTGGAAACTAACAAAAGGACTGTCTGGGAACATAAGGCTCTGTAGCACAACATTAGCCAATGTTTCTTCATTCCCTGCACCTTTAAAGGGTGTCTTACCATAGAGAAGCTCGTAAAGAAAGATACCGAAGGTCCACCAATCAACAGCAGCTCCATGACCCTCTCCTTTAATGATCTCAGGAGCCAAATACTCGTGGGTTCCAACAAAGGAATTGGATCTTGCATCAGTAGGCTCAGCCACAAGCTGTGGCAGTGATCTGGCTTGGGCAGCAAGGTCCGCTTTTGCCTTGTTCTTTGTTTTTGCAGCAGCAGGCAAGAACCGAGGACTGAAGCATGGGACCTGACAGGATGGTTCAATGCAGAACGGTTCTGCGCATCTAGATGCTGCAAATGGACCAGATATCCTAGCAGGATCCAAATTTGACGAAGATTTCAAGAGAGTTGGACTAACTGTGCATCTAAGTGAAAGGTCAAAATCTGTGAGCATTATGTGGCCATCTTCTCTAACCAGAATGTTTTCAGGTTTCAAATCACGGTAAACAACTCCAAGCATGTGCAAGTACTCCAAAGCAAGAAGGACCTCGGCTACATAAAACCTGAATATAAAATAATATATAACCAGTTCAGAAATTGATGTCAGATTGATCGAAAAAGATTAACTGAAGCATGGAACGGTCTCATTCAACACAGACCTTCTCTTATGTCATACTACACCAGTCACCACAGTGTAGGCAACAAGTAAAAACAGCACAGCTTGAAATTTGAGACAAGCTAAAACTTCACAGAAAGGATGACCCTATATTAAAGAAAAACACTCGTTTACTTGGATTTAAGGGGAGTTACAAGGTGAATTAAGTGGAAACACCTATCACAGAGATATCAGAACATTTTCATGACTTTAACCAGATATGCAAGCAATATAATGCAAAACTTATTGTGCTTTAGATGTTCAAACTGAATGAATAACCAGACAGGCAAGATCAAAAGTGACTTCTCAATTGTCAAGATATTTCAAATTATTAGAAGGTATTCCTAATTCAAATTCACTTTTCATCATCTAAGCATCTTACCTAGCTGCTGGCTCTGGAAAACATCTCCCATGCTGCCTTTGACGAAGGACATGTAGATCCCCACCTGGACAGTACTCCATAACCAAACATGATAAGTTATCTGATGTGAATTGGGTATATAAAGTAGGTAGAAAAGGATGATCAAGCATCCTTAATATTTCTCTCTCTGTTTGGGCCCTTGGCATTTTCTTCCTTCTCTCCAAAAAGTCATTGTCCATGACCTTTATAGCAAACAAGCAGTTCGTGCCAATAAGCTCAGCAAGATATACTGTCCCAATATCTCCACAGCCAAGCTTCTTTAGAAGATTGAAATGTCTCAATCCCAAGACTCCATCCTGCATCCTAATGTGGCGGATGGCTTCCCACCTCACGTCCTTTGACATGTGAGGTCTATTGCCACAACTAGACCCACTTAAATTGCTGTCATCACTGATGCTTGTGCTACTACTATCACCAAGGCTACTTGAACTTTGGGATAAGTCTCCATTTTCTCTTAATTTTGAGCTCTTTTTAGCCCTTGGAACGGCAGCTCGGCTTCTGTTAGAGTTATTTTCAACCAAGGTGGGTTTGCACACATCAGAATTCACATGACTTGAGCTCACTTCAGCACTAATCCCGGCTGCATGCGACTTGATGTAATCTTGATTAGAGTCATTAATTGAACTCTTCATAGAGCATTGGCATCTCTGACAAACTAATTGACTCGTAGTGGAATCCAAGCTGCTATTAACTTCATTGAAAGAATTAGCAGTGCAGGCGGCAGAAGAGGAATCCTGCTTTACTTTCTTCTTGACCAAACTTTTGTTCCTGACAACTGTTTTGACCACCCGCGGTGCATTTCTTGTCATCCTGCTTACTCTGTTGCCATTCATTGAGCTAGAAGATGCAACAGCATGCACCCTGCCCTTTTGTCCCGACTTTGGCGATGATGCTCTTTTTGGTAACTTGGTTGAAGCAGGTACAGTATTGTCAGTTTCTAACATATTATTATTAGCATAAGAAGAAGATGGAGAAGATGCAGAAGTATGCTTCTCTTTTTGATACAGCTCTGCCTTTGGTGGTTGAGTTCCAACTTTTCTTGACACAGAAACATCAGCTTGAGTTGATTTAGAACTTCCGGTGCTAATTTGTGCTGTTGCACGAGCAAATCGAGGTGAAGAATTAGCATTTTGGCTCAATGACTTTATGTTGGGAGCTTGATGTGGCACAGCCGTCATCCTAGAAGAAGTTGACTTGCTTTCTTCAGGCACCAAAGATATTTCTACCCTGCTCCCCTTATCTTCATCTCTGGGAAGACCAGATCCACTGGCTGCTTCAACTACAACTGAATTGAACAAACTTTTTATCCTTCCAGCTTCAGAGACCCCAGGAGAACTAGCTGACATTGACAAACGTTTCATAGCAGCCATTTCTGATGCCTTGGAAATGCAAAGATCCCTTAATGCCTGTTTCAGTGACAACGGCTCTGAACCACCTATTCTTGGGGATTGAGGCATCCCCACTGTAATTGGCTTCTTCAGTGCATTTTTCTTTAAAGAGCTTGAGATTGCGCCTCCTTGGTACGAAACACTTAAACCTTTGGGACCTTTAAGATTTATAGCCTCAAAAAGCTGATTAACACCATCTTCTAGAGAATCCTTGTATCCCAGTTTCAGCACAGGAGGCTTCCGATCTTTGTTACCCACCCCCAATCCTGAATGTGATCGGTATGCCCCTCTAGATCGTTGTACCGGTTTCAACTCTTCACCTGCTTCAACGATTTCACGGGTACCAGAATATGAACCCATTCTAACTGCTTAAGAGTAATAAATTTTCTCAGCTGTATCCTAAAAGACAAGGTATGATATCACCCTTCAAATTTACACTAATTCATGTTTCTCTATCGACCATCTTCAAAGATCCGAATGCATAGCAACATGTGACCTTTCTTTCATCAAATCAACTTTAAAGCTCATACATTCGGAAAGCCTGAAAACCATTAAAACCAGAATATCAAAGCACAAGCAAATCACAGCAAAATAATATTACCAACAAAAAGAAAATTAGAACTAGGGATCCAGCAAACATACCAGAAACAAAAACACTCTTTAACTTCCAGCCAAACCCAACAGCAAAAAAGAATAAAACCAAAAACCAAAAAAAACCCAGAAACTGAAAGCTGCAACATGATTAAATTTCTTACATATATCAAATCCAACCCAAAACCAAAGATCCAAAACCTCAACAACAAACAAACAACAAACAAAAAAAGGCAAAACTTGAATCAAGAGAAACAAACAGTACCTTAAAAAAGAAGATAGAACCGAAAGCATTGAGGAATAGATTTTGGGACCAAAATGTATGAAACGAGAAAATTAAGAAACAGATGTTTAGGATTGAAAAGCCTAGCAAGAGTGCTAAAATCAAAGTGGGTTGAAGAAAATAAGAGAGAAAGGAAGACAGAGTACAAAAAAATAGTGTTGTTTCTTTTTTTTTTTGGGCTCTGATTATTTAGATGTTTGAAAATGGGCCCACCATACATTGAAGTGGGTCACACGTAGCAGCGAGGGGGAAAAATTTTTTTGCAGGTTAGATACGGACACCGCCTACTTCTACTGTTTTAACAAGAGAATATTATTATTATTATTATTATTATTGTTGGTTCGCCCAACGAATAAATTAATTAAATTTTCTATTTATCTGTTTGTGATTTTGTATTATTAATTATTTAGTGATATAATATTCATTTATTTGTTTATTTTTATTTACTCTCGATTTCTTTGGATACCCAGTTTTAGTTTATTATTAATTCTATTATTTTTACATATAAAAATATATCAATCTTTTTGGAGACAATATGTCTAAGACAAATGATGATTGATTTTACTTAAGAATGCAAGTCATGTTCATTAATGGAACACAAAGTCATGTTCATTAATGGAACACACTTATCAACAACAAGAGAAAAAGTTAGAACATAATGTTACAAAATTAATGGTCTTAATCAATTACTATTACTTTGTATGACATTATGCTTTTTTTTTTTTTTGGATAATTCAAAATTTTTATGAGTTGAAGTTAATCTAGTGAGAATAATTTATTTAAAAAAAAAACATGTTAGAATAATTTAATTTTTTTATAAATTTTAATCAATCTGTCATAAAACTTAAATGATAGTAAGATAATGAGACTCAGATAAAATTTTTTAATTTAAAAAAATTTATAACTCTCGTATTAGTATTTAAATTATAAATTTATTAAATATGTCGAGTGATTAAATTAAATTTTTTATTTAAATATTTGTAATTCAAACAATAATCTTTCATTTTATATTAAAAAAAGATTTTTTTTTAAATCGACTTTAACTTTTTAAAAGGAAAAATTCATACATTATAATATTATACCAATATTAGAGCCTACAAAATATAAACTTAAAGGATTAAAAAGTAGAGGCAAATTTTCAAAATATATTTTTACTTTTAACACCTTTATTTTTTACAAATATATAATTTCAAGAGGGAAAATTAAAATTTTGGGTAAAGGTCACTTTAATTTGTTTCCCTAATAGTATATTAAAGAACCTTCAAAATAAGTGTGTGATTTTGTTTAGTATTACAACAGCTTGAGGTTAAAGTATTAAAGATGACTAGGTTTTAAGTATTAATGATGGACTTGATACAAAAGTTTGTGACTTTAATTTTTCATAATTCATATTAATCATCTATTTATTTATTTAAATTTCCACCAACTATCAAATAATTATTACTATATAATCATTATTTATAATAAAACATAATTAACGATAAATATATTTTGCTATCGATTATAATTTATTAATTAATTATTTAAAAATATCATCAAATTAACTGTCTAACTATTGTTTCTAATGCAAAAAATTACTACCCTTAAAGAGTGCTTTAAAATACTCATTAGCAAAATTTATGATTAATATAGTAAGGTTTTGGTTGGTGCATAGTATGACAAAATAGAATTAATTAATATTGGACATTAATTAAGAAAATAATTGAATTGGACATCCTAAATCCTAATTCCCTGTTGGGACACATTGCATTTGCCATAAATCAATACTATTATTAATTGTAATTTCAATTTTTTACAGTAAAAAATTGGGTGGTAATTAAGTGGTAACCATGAGGGAAAAAAATCCAAGTACAGGGAATTACCCTTCAATAATTGGTGAAAAAAATGTCAGAGCTGGCAGGATTTTGGGATGCACTCCACTTTAGTGAAAACTCATTTCCTTTGGCTGCTTCTTGCTCCACCCACATAAATTTAAATTCTTTAATAATTATTTATAATGAACAATAAGAATATTTTGAAATTCAAATCAATCATACATTTCAAAAACGATAAAAGTTTAAATTAAATTAAATTTATTTTATTTTTTAATAATGTATAATATTATAAAATTTTAAAATTTAATTCAAATTCAAATTAATATTTTTTAAAATAGATTCGAAGTGATTTTTTTTTAATTTAAAGTGTTCGATAATCACTTTAAGTTTTGATTATTATGAAATCAAATTGAATTGAATCTCATAAAGAGACAAACTCTTTCAACATCTATTTTTTTTAATTAAAGTATTTGAAATTAAAACTTTACTTAAAGAGGAATCAAGTTTTTTACTATTCAACCAATAAGTGTTGGTGATTCAAATTGAATTTTATTTGTTCAGTTCAGATTATTTTTTAAAATTTAAAAATTTTTAATTATTTTTATGTTATTTTAATAAATTTTTTAATATATTTAAATAAAATTTTATATAAAATAATTATTTTTATTTTATAAAAATTTAAAAATATATACAAATTAATAAAAATATATAATTCAATTTAGTTCAGTTTTTTTCTTTTTCTCATTTCTCAATTCAAAATTTAATTCGAATTTAATATATATATTTAATATCCAAATTTAATTCAAATCAAATAAAAAATCGATTATAATCTAATCAAAAATTAAAATTTCAAACTGATTTTTATTTTTTTATTTTTTTCACCCTTACCTATTGAGAGCACGCTTTGATTATTGTTGTTGAATAATAAAATATTGTTAATAATAAAAAATTGAACTATTTTTAAATAAATGTTTACTCTTTATTTTTTTTAAGCATATTTGAAAAAAAAATTAAAAACGTATCAACGTACTTCAAAATGGAATAAATTTTCGTAATGAATGTAGTTTAATAATCTTTATATCAACGATCATTATTACTATTATTTTTTAAATAAATAACCTAATTAAACTTGCTAATAATATCTCATTTTTAGGGAGAAAACAAAAAGAAATAAATAAATGAGATATTTTGTATCATATTCAGATACACAAAAGGATGGTAAATTACTAAAAATTGTAGTTGTTACTAAAGTAGAAATCCATCTTTAAAAAGAAAATAAGAAAAACAATTTTAGTTTTCATGATTCTCTTTCATTTTTTATATGTATTAGTTAGAGATATAATCGATCGAGTTCAAATTGATATAATATTAAATTTAAGTTCGAACTTAATTTAAAATTCAATGCTCGAAAATCAACTTGAACTCGATCAAGTTTTTTTTTTAGCTTAAACGATACTAGAGATAAAAATCAAACTATTTAAACTTGTTCGATTAAGTTTGATTAACATATAAAAATAAACTCGATTATTATATTCGAAAAAAATTTAATTATTTATGCTCGAGCTCGAACTTAAATTCGAGATATTTTATTAATTAAAATAATTAAAATATATTTAAATATAAAAAGCTCAATTAGGCTTGACTTAGCTTACGAGCTATTCGAATCTCGTAAGCCAAGTATAAGAATGATCGAATTCGGTTAGATCGATAAGTCAAGTTACTCGAGCTCAAGTTCAATTCGATAATAATCGAGTCGAATTAAAGTTTTATTATAATTGAATCCGAATAACTTGTGAGTATTAATATATCATTTACATCCATAATACTAATTTCTTTTTTTTCTTGCTGAAAATTTTGTAATTTGAAAAAATATATATAAATTATAAGTGTTAAAATTTAAATTATAATTTTATTTAATATTATTTTTTAAAAATAATTATATAAATCAATTAAAATTTAATTATATTTGATAATTTAAAATACAATAAGATAAAATGACATTAACATATAAAAAATAAAAATAATATAATTTAAAATTTTAATAATAATTATATTTAAATTTAACAAAATTAAAAAATATTTAATATTTTTATATCAATATGAATTATAATATATTATTTTTATATAAAATATAATATAAAATATAATATTTAATATTTTATGCACAAAAATATATAAATTATAAAATTTTTCACATTCATTATTGACAAGTGATAACTCAAAAACTTTGAAGGAATTCGACGAATCAATCACGCGGTGCAATAAAGAGAAAATAATGGAATATAATATTTATTTATATATTCTCATATAAATCATTTACTATATTTAAAAAAATTTTTTATTCGTACAAAAAGATATGCCGCCCACGTTATACTTCCACGGCCCATGCCGGCGGTTGAAGAATAAAAGGAAGATTTTTTTTTTTGGGTCAGTAAAGAATTAAGGAAGATTAAAATTTAAAAATTTAGGTGAAAATAATAATTTTTTTAATTTTATTATTTTGATTAAATAAATTTTTTATTTTTATTGTATTTAAATAAGTCATTGATCTTTAATTTACATTTAAATAAATTTTTAACATTTAATTTGTATCCAAATAAAATTTTAACTTTTAATTTCTATTATATATAAATAAACATTTAATATAAATTAATTTTTTAGAATAATGATTTATTTGAACATAAATCATAATAAAAATATTAAAATTTATTTAAAAACATAATTTAAGAACTTTATTAATGTTTTAGCCAAAAATTTAAAGCAAACGGGCAGAAATAAAAAAAAAAAATGCAATGAAGTCCTGATTTTACCATATTTTGGTTCATTTATTTTAAACACATCACCTCGTATTAGATCCTCTTTCAATAATACCCTCCATTATCATTATTTATGCAAACATATTCTCTATTGTTTTCTCCCTTCATTTTTAATTACAAGTCAACCATTTCAAACAATAATCCAAGAATTCAAGAAATTTTAGTAGCATTTGATTATTTGATTTAAGGATTAATGTTTCAGCAGTGAAAATTTTAAAGTTTACAAACATAATTAATTTTTTTAAATATATGATATATGATCATTTTTTAATTTTGTTAATAAAATTAAAAAATTTACTAATAATATATTAAATAATTTTCTTCAATTTAATGGTAAAATATGCATAACCATACTAAAAAATAAAATTTCGAATCTCTTCTTTCTTAATAATTTTATCTTATAAAAAAAAAAAAAATAATAGGCATAGAGACTAAGTGGGGATTTGGATTCTATCGTACATTCAATATAGTACAATTAAGTTCATTACATCATCAACTGAATTCAAATGTTAAT